GAGCTATGTTTAACACAGGTCTCTGTGTCTGGGAAGATCTCGCTGCTGGTTTAGTAAATTCCTCTGTTTACTAAAGAGCCTCCACAATTACTTTTACTAGGAGAGCCTACAGCCATGGGTGAGGCAGAGATTGTTATCATTCCCACTAGAAAACTAAACTCATCCAAGAAGCCACGGCTTCTGCTCACAAGCCCAGCTACCTGGTGAACTTGGCTCCATCTCCTGCATCATACCGAGCAATTGTGGAAGTGACCCATTTAAATCATCGCCTCGGCAACAGCAACTGACCCTGACTCAACCTCATCACGATTAGTAAAGCCAGGCTTACTAAGCCAGAAAGGTATCTGCCCCCAACTTCAGAAGTCATCCCGGTTACAGAGGCTGCAGTGTATGATATCAATTACTGACCCAGGCAGAGGGTGTTAGAGCCTCAGGACAGCCCCCACGACACCTAGTGTGAATACCAGTCTTTGCTCTGTTTTTTTCTCTCTCTCCTTTAGCTTTATTATTAGAATACGTGTGTGTGTGTGTGTGTGTGTGTGTGTGCATGCATGTATATCTGTTATCTGTATCTGTGTGTTTGAATGCAGGCATGTGTGGAGGTCAGAAGGTTCCAGAAGGTTGTTTGGCAAGTGCCTTTATCTGTTCCGCCAACTCCCCACCCCTTCCCACTCCCCCGCCCCACCTTTTTCTATTATTCCATTTCCTTGTTCTCACCTTTCAAAACCCACGCTTCTGGTATCGCCCAGTGATGTGGCAGCTCTCATTGGCCTTCGTAAAATGAAGGCTGCTTTGATTCATGAATCATGGATAAAAGCCAATTACATCTCTAATTCTGTTCATTTTATCTCTTGATGCATCCCTTGGCACCTCTCAACTCATCCGGGACTCTCTGACTTGGTCTGGTCTCTTATGGTCTTCAGGCTGTGGCGGGACACAGAGACCCGAACACGCTTTTCTGGTGGTCCTTGTCATTCGTAACAGGACCTTCATGTGGCCCCCAGTTCCAGGAAGTACAGGTGGAGTGTTGACCAGGGCAGACCATGATACAGCTGCTATAATCCCCGAACAAAGCGTCCTCACCACCCAGCTCCCTCCCTTCATCCCAAACAGAACACCTAAGAAGCCGAGGAGCCAGAGGATAACAAGCACCACGTTTCCTTCCCTGTGCGGCAACGACTGTTTGAACAATGGCACTTGATTACCCAGGATCCACCTGTGCGTGAGGAGCAGGGAAGGGATGGCCACACTGGGAGAGAGCCATGACTAATCCCTTGTTGCTCTGAAGGATGGGACAGCCAGGGGCCTGCACAGTGTCACTCAAGGTTCCTGTGGAGCTGGGATTGAATTTCCAGGACCTTTCAAAGAACCTAGTTACCAAACTCATGTATCAGATATAATTCTGTTTAACCTTTACGCTCACAAAGACTGCCCCAGGACACACATGAAACCTGCCGCCTTTTCTTGCTCTTGGAGATCAAGCCATTCTTAATCCTAGCCTGTGTCCACCTCCTCTTCCTCCTCAGACGCCTTCCCCTTTCGCCAGGCTTAAGTTCTTTATCTCTAAAGATGAAATCAAGCCTGTCGCCCTGGCAACCGGCTCCTTTGGCCTTGGGTTGTAAATTGAGAGTGGCCTATGTTCCTCTGCTCTTCTCTTGCTGTGGTCTCTGCATCCTTTGTGGCACTTACTGAGAGTGATTCAAAGCCATTACTGGTGTCCCCAAGCCACCAGAGGAGCAGGGAGGGACCAGCTCTCATCTTTCCCTCCTACCCCAAGGCCAGGACATTGCAGGCTCCTATAAATGTTGTTGCAGACAGAAGGTTGTCCATTAGAAGAAGGTGAAGGCTCCCAGTGAGTGTGTTGGGTTCCCAGCTCAGCCTTCCTCAGACAGTTGATTTCTCTTCAGGGAGAGTAGGTAGGGGAAGCGCCTGACACCGGCTATTTGCTACCCAGCCCGTTAGCACCACCTTGTGGTCAGACTAAGCAACTACTCTTCAGCTCTATAGCCCTGGCTGGCATTGAATGAAACAATTCTCCTACCTCAGCCTCAAGAGTGCTGAGATTACAGGTGTCTGCCACCAGACAGGTTTGTTTCATTTTGTTTTTATTTTTTGAGACAGGATCTCTCTATGTAGCCCTGGCTGTCCTGGAACTCACAATGCAGACCACACTGGCCCTGAACTCACAGAGATTTCCCTGCCTCTGCCTCCCAACAAGTGCTATTATTATTATTATTTACCTGCTTTGGTGTGCTGTTTAAATGTGGGTGCTGGGAATTGAACTAGGATCCTCACCCCCGGATAGTTTCAAGCAACTACTCTTAGCAAAAATAACAAAACAAAACTATCGTAAATGTCACAGTGTAGGTACCAACTGAAGGTCCGTCTTAGTCCACCATCTCCAAAGCTAGTCTACATTTAGTCTGACCCTTCTGGAAAATCATCTCTGCTCTGTCTGACCTTGAGAGAAGAGTGGGGGGCTCAGGCCAGTGCTTCAAATACCCAAGACCTGCCACCAGCATGTCACCTGAACTCACCTGGATCCTCCTTGGCAACTCTACCCACACGGGAACCTTCCTGATCACCCTGTCTGTATGCAGCCTGAGCCAGGTGTGAGGCTGTTCAAGTCACTCAGCTATGCCAAGCTCAGGAGGAAAACCCGAGGCTCGCACAGGCTCGCACAGGCTAGCCGCTGAAGGGGACCCCGCAGCAGCCTCTGTGGGCTGTTAATGTAATAAGCCTGTTATTTGGACCCCAAGATTCTGACCTGTTCAGGCAGAGCTTGGTACTATATAACTGAGAAACACTCAGTGGGCCTAGGGGTCTGTGGCCCTCAGATGATGTCTGCGAAATGAAGATGTCAGTAACAGCCCTGCAGCACTGAAGTAAAGATGTCATTGTTTACATTTAGACGCAAAGTATTTGTGGAAAATCTCAAAAAGTCTTACAACTCTTGCTAAAACACAAGTCTATGACTAATAGTGAGGTGTGTGTGTGTGTGTGTTTTAGAGACAGAGTTTTACTTTGGCTGTCCTGGAACTGGCTCTGTAGATCAGGCTGGCCCCCAACTCACAGAGGTCCTCCTGCTTCTGCCTCCCAAGTGCTGGGATTAAAGGCGAGCGCCACCACTGCCTTTGATTTGGTGTGTGGGGGGGTGTTTTGTCTGTTTGTTGTTTTGCTGTTCTGTTTTGGTTTTTTTGAGTTGTGCATCACCACAACTAACCCTAATAGTGATGATTTTAACTGTATTACATGTACGGGAATGCCTGTAAATAATTTTTCATTTTTAGTATTTTTCTTTTACATTTATTTTTGTGTATGTATGTATATGTGCATGTGTGTGGTGTATGTGTGCGTGTGTATATGTAGTGCATGTGGTGTGTGTGTGTGTATATAATTTGCAGGAATTAATTATTTCCTTTCACAATACGGGTATTAACTCAGGTCATCAGGCTTGGCACCCAATGCCCTTCCTGCTGAGCCATCTTACTGGCCCAATTTCTATTTTATTTCTTGGTTTCAATGCTGGGGAGTAGGTCCAGGCCCTTACACATCCTAAGTAAATGCTCTATCACTGAGCTGTAGCTTCAGCCACCGTCTACATAGTTTTAAAAGGATACAGCTCTCCAGGCTGGAGACATGGCTTTGTGGTTAAGAGTACTGGCTGCTTTTCCAAAGGGTTCTGTTTCCAGCACCCACCCATGGTGGCTCACAGCCATCTGTAATTCCAGTTCTGGGGGTCTCTAACGCCTTCTTCTAGCCTCTGTAGGCACCAAACACATACACACATGCAGGCAAAACCTTCGTATACATATAAAAACAACAGCTGTTATGGCTTGAACACCTGTGTCCCTCCCAAGTTCCCTTACTCTTCAGCGGGACAGTGGCAAATGCTGAGGCCTTTGGGTGATGTGCTCGGGAGCTCCACCCTGACGGACATGATTTGTGTACTTACACCGGGGTTTGAGGCGCCTGCTTATAGATCCTCACAGTGGAGCCTGCCTGCTCTTCTGGGTTCTAACTCTAAAAGCCCTAAGCACGCTTGCCCTGACACCGGGGCAGCCTCTGTCTCTGGAGTCCCTGTCTTTTTTGCCCCTTCAGCTAAGGTTCCTTCTGGAGGTGCTACAACATGGAGTTGTTCGCTTCGTCCCCGCTTCTCTTTTGCTCTACTGAGGGCCAGTCAGGAAGGCACTGGACACACAAGTGCCATAAGGTTCCGAGTTCAGATCCCTAACCCACTTTAAAAAAGCGGGGCACGGTCGGGGCGGTGGTGGCGCACGCCTTTAATCCCAGCACTCGGGAGGCAGAGGCAGGCGGATCTCTGTGAGTTCTACAGAGCTAGTTCCAGGACAGCCTCCAAAACAATAAGGAGAAACCCTGTCTGGGGAAAAAAAAAAAAGCGAAACAAACAAACAAACAAAAAGCTAGGCACGGACTCAGAGAGGTGACTCAGCAATTAAGAGCATCTAGTGCTGATGCAGAGGCCCCAGGAATGGTTCCCAGCACCCGCACTGTGCCGATTCCAGCCATTTGACGCCCTCTTCTCGCTCCCTAGGTCCGCACATGAACTCAAGCAGGCACACACACATACATATTTAAGAAAAAAGGAAAACGGTGAGGCGGCCCACTCCTGTAAGCATGGTACTTATAGGGCAAAAATAGGAGGGTCCCTGAAGTCCATTGGCCAGCCCGTCTAGCCGAATCTGCAAGCTCTGGATTCAGTGAGAAACCCCGTTTCAAAAAATACACGCCGAGGGGCTGGGAAGACGGCTCAGCACTTGAGCTCTCTTGCTTGACCTAAGTTAGGTTCCTAGCACCCATGTGGGACAGCTCACGGCCCTCTGTCCCAGCAGCTCCAGGGATCCAATGATTCCAGCCTCCACAGGCACCTGCACTCTTGTGTATAGAACCACATGCTGGCACACTCACCTACACCTAATTAAAAACAATAAAAAGTCCTCTGAAAATAGATATTGCCACCTGGTGGTACATGCCTTTAATTACAGCTCTCAGGAAGCAGAAGCAGTCAGGTTTTTGAGGCCAGGCTGGTCTATAGAGTGAGTTCCCGGATGGCCAGGGCTGTATACATAGAGAAATGCCATCTCGAAAAAAAAAAAAAAAAATATATATATATATATATATATATGTCAATATATATATCAAAAACAACAAAGCATACTGACATGCCACATGTACACACACACACACACACAAGTAAGCAAAATATAATGTTTTAAAGTAGACTAATACATATGAGCCAGGGAGAAGAAGCAGTCTGTAACAGGGCCTGTGAGACCTTGGCTTGTAGCTAACAGACGCAGTTGCTGCTTAGGGCTGCTTATTAATGACCTTGTCAGAAACAAGGTTTGAGCTCAGTCTTTTTACTAGAAAGCCAAGTGCTACGCTATAGAAGGGGACGAAGTCTCCTCCTGGGATATTGAAAAGATAGAATTAAAAACATAAATTACACTTGTCTGCCTTTGGAGACTGCACATGGCCTTGACCAAGCATCGTATATCCCAGAGAAGGCTTTTGTGAATTATCTCGGAAAAGAACAGAAGGGGTGGGTTCAGAACGGGGTGGGGAACAAGGACGCAGAACACAGATTCCTTTGGTGGTGGAGGGTGAGGCAGGGCGGTAGGCACTCAGCCCAGGGTTCCAACACCAGGGGCTGTGTCATGGGCTTCCACAATTCTCTTCTCCCCCTCCCTCCCCCCTTACCTCCTTCTCTCCCTCCCTCCTTTCTTCTTTCCCTGCTTCCTTGAAGGAGTCCGCTCTCCTCTTCCACCATGTGGGAGTCAGGGATCAAACTCAGGTTGTCTTCGTGGTGGTAAGGGCCTTTACCAACTTGCCCACAGACTCTCACTGAATCTGGGGACCACTGTTGGGCTAGGCTGTCTCTGTCCTACCCTGTCCTAGTGTTACTGTCCCAGACAGCTTCCACAAATGGGTACTAGAAATCTGATGCTCTCTCTCCCTCCCTCCTTCCTTCTCCCCTCTTGTTCGTGTGTGTGTGTGTGTGTGTGTGTGTGTGTGTGTGTGTGTGTGTTCATGCCCATGCATGCAGGCATTTGCATGCTAGGCACACGTGGAGGTCAGAAGACAACTTTCCAGAGCTGGCACTCTCCTGCCACCTTGTGGGATCTAAAGTTAGGACTGATCACCAGGCTTTCTAGGTAAAAGAACACTTGCTGTGTTACCAAGACTGACAACCAAGACTGATAACTAGGGCTGAAACCAAGACTGATAACTAAAACTGACAACCAAGACTGACCCCAGAAACCCCAGAGGAGGGAGAGAGCAGACTCCTGAATGTTGTCCTCTGATCTCCACACACACACTGTGGCACATGTGTTCTCCACACACTTACACACACATCATACACATGCACCCACATTATGCATACACAGTACACATACAATAATAATGAAGAAATATTTTTAAAGGACAAAGTGGGACCGGAGAGATGGCTCAGCTGTTAAAAGCACTGACTGCTCTACCAGAGGACCCAGGTTCAAGTCCCAGCACCCACATAGTGTCTCACAGCCACCTGTAACTCCAGTTCCAGAGGATCTGAGGCATTCTAATGGTCTCCACGGGGACCAGGCATTACACATGGTGCACAGGCATACAGGGAGACAAAAGCCCAAACAAACAAATACATATAAAAAATGTTTAAAAGGACAATGACCTGAAAAAGGGCACAAAATTCCAAGGTTATCCCAAAGAACTACATGGAGAATTCACAATCCTGGGGTAGGTAGGGTAAATCTGTGTAGGGGTGGTGACTCCCTGTGTAGAAGAAGAAAGTGGCCGGGCGTTGGTGGCGCACGCCTTTAATCCCAGCACTCGGCAGGCAGAGACAGGCGGATCTTTGTGAGTTCGAGGCCAGCCTGGTCTATAAGAGCTAGTTCCAGGACAGCCTCCAAAGCCACAGAGAAACCCTGTCTTGAAAAACCAAAAAAAAAAAAAAAAAAAAAAAGAAGAAGAAGAAGAAAGTGAAGCCAGAGAAGTCAGTCTTCAGGTTGGATACCTGTAGAAAAGAGACTTTTAGCTTCTTCTACTTTGGGAAAACACCAAATGGCGGATGACGCTGGTGCAGGAGGACCCGGAGGGCCCGGGGCCCGGGATTAGGCGGCTTCCTCGGAGGCTTTGGCAGTGGCCTCAGGGGCTGCGGCGGTCGTGGTTGAGGCCGTGGCCGTGGTCAAGGCCGTGGGGCTCGTGGAGGTAAAGCCGAAGACAAGGAGTGGATCCCTGTCACCAAGCTGGGCCGCCTGGTTAAGGACATGAAGATCAAGTCCCTGGAGGAGATCTACCTGTTCTCCCTGCCCATTAAGGAATCCGAGTTCTAAAAATCATGCCAGTACAGAAGCAGACTCGGGCTGGCCAGCGGACCAGGTTCAAGGCTTTTGTCGCTACTGGGGACTACAACGGTCATGTTGGTCTTGGTGTGAAGTGCTCCAAGGAGGTAGCCACTGCCATCCGGGGCTCCATCATCTTGGCCAAGCTTTCCATTGTCCCTGTGCGGAGAGGCTACTGGGGGAACAAGATTGGCAAGCCCCACACTGTCCCGTGCAAAGTGACGCGCTGCTGTGGCTCTGTGTTGGTGTGTCTCATCCCTGCCCCCAGAGGCACTGGCATCGTCTCAACTCCTGTGCCCAAGAAGCTACTGATGATGGCCGATATTGATGACTGCTACACGTTAGCCGGGGCTGCACTGCCACCCTGGGCAACTTTGCCAAGGCCACCTTTGATGCCATCTCCAAGACCTACAGCTACCTGACCCCTGACCTCTGGAAAGAGACTGTGTTCACCAAGTCTCCTTATCAGGAACTCACGGACCATCTTGTGAAAGCCCACACCAGAGTCTCTATTCAGAGGACCCAGACTCCAGCTGTGGCCACCACATAAGGGGTTTCATACAAGAAAAATAAAGTGAATTAAGTCTGTTTAAAAAAAAAAAGAGACTTCTACAGAAAGAAACTTCCAGAAACAGAAACCTGTAGAGCTCCCCTGGAGGGGAGTTACCAGCTAAATATGGATTACAGGGAAGGATTTACAGGGAAGGAACACTGCTCTTCCAGAGGACCCAAATTTGGTTTCCAGCACCCGTGTGCTGCAGCAGCTCAAGTCACTTGGAATTCTCAGCACCAGGGATCCAACCCTCTTCTAGACACCTGCATTCACAATGATGGAACACACAAAGGAAGTCCCTAATCTTAGACTCCTGATTGGTGAACATTGGAACTGTAACTTGGCAACAAACTTTTGTGGGTTTTGTGCTTATTAACTCCGATTCTGTTCCTGCACTGTCAGGAGGAAAAAGGCTCCTGAGTCGTTGTCCTGCAGCCTTGATCCATCCAACCTGTTTATATGGTGAGTTTTTTTTTTTGTTTGTTTGTTTTTTTGAGACAGGGTTTCTCTGTATTGTTTTGGAGGCTGTCCTGGGACTTGCTCTGTAGACCAGGCTGGCCTTGAACTCACAGAGATCCGCCTGCCTCTGCCTCCCGAGTGCTGGGACTAAAGGCGTGTGCCACCAACGCCCGGCTATATGGTGAGTTATCAAAGTCTTTGGAACCCATAAGTATTGTCTCTCTCCTTCCTTGTGTTTCATAAGGGACTGGGTGTAACAGTATACACACAGGTGGGCAAAACACCCAAATACATAAAGTAAAACTAAAAACTAAAATGTAATTAAGAAATCTTGCTGGGTGGTAGTAACACACGCCTTTAGTCCCAGCGCTCGGAAGGCAGAGGCAGGCGGATCTCTGTGAGTTCAAGGCCAGCCTGGTCTACAGAGCGAGTGCCGGGACAGCCTCTAAAACAATACAGAGAAACCCTATTTCAAAAAACCAAAAAAAAAAAAAAAAAAAAAAGAAAGAAAAGAAAAGAGAAAATGGTCCTATCTTTACTCTTTTTTCCTGTGCGTGAGAGGGTGGAATTTACCTCACATAAAACGCTTGCACATATTCTCTTGTTGCCATCCCTCACAGGAAGATGTGCTGACGTCTCCCAGTTGGAAACACGGATGTACCCGCCAGCATCCATTCAGGAGACACTGTCACTTCCAGCCTGGCTCCTCAGCAGCAGGATGACAGCCATCGATGAACGCAGATGTACTCAGAACTTACTAGGAATGTGCTCGGAAGGGACGGACACGGCAGCTTCAGCTTCCAGGAGAGAGCCAAGGTTCCAAAATTTATTCTTCCTCCTTTTGTTGTCACAGGCTGGAGGAAAGACATAACAAAGTTCCAGTCTGGCAAAGAAAAACAAAATAAATTGCTATTTGAAATCGGAAGCAATCATTCTGTCTACAGTTCTAAGAAAAATAAACAAATCAAGGAGTGGCATGTAGAGCTGCCCGAACAATGCCAGAGAACCAGAGTTTGAAAAAGGCCTCGAGCCATTGTTTTGGCTCCCTAGGGTGCCACTCTGCCTGGACTTCATGCTCTGGCTAATCCCCTCCCCACTCCCACCCCCGGCACTCCTAGAACCACACGTGCCCTGTCACCAAGTCCTGCAGATTTCAGGGCTCTCTCACAGCATGGGGTCTCTGCCTTAGCCTCACTGAATTTGACCTCACCAACCTGACTAAGCGTGCACCATTTTCCACAGCTTCCTGACTCCACTCCAACCCTGCATTTGGCTAGGTCCCTTCAAGCTACAGCGTTTTGTTTTGAGACAGGGTCTCACTATGTAGTTCTGACTGTCCTGGAAATCATTATGTAGACCAGGCTGGCCTGGAACACGCAAAGATCTGTCTGCTTCTGCCTCCCCTGTGCTGGGATTAAAGGCGTGCGCTATCACATCCAGCTCAAGCTACAGCTTTCTAAAGATAATAAATAGAAGATTATAATGGTGACAGCAATCACTCAAAACTTTTTGAGTGTTTACCATATTGCTTGTATTTTTTTAGAAGTCCAGGAGGAGTCTACCCATGACACACACACAAACACACACACACACACACACACACACACACACACACACACAGATGGAGACGCAGAGACAGAGACAGAGGAGAGAGAGACTGACGCTCACAGAGACTAAATGGCCCATATCTCTTTAAGGGACCCTGTTTAAGTGACACCAATGTTTTTGTACAATAACCAAGGTCTTCATGCATAATTCTTCATTTCTGGATCTATTTTTTGCTTTGAGACAGGGTTTTATACAGCCCAGGCTGTCCTCAAACTTGCAGTGTACCCCCGGATGACCTCCTGCCTCTGCCTCCCAAGTGCAGGGATTCAACCCAGGCCTTCCTGTGTACCAGGCAGGCCCTCTGTCTACTGAGCTACGCCTCAGCCTTGTTTGTCACCTTAGGAGAATTTCCAAGAGATGGAGTCACTGAGCAAGAGAAAGCTTTCCTAGTCCTTGGAACAAACTGTCCCCAAACCTTCCCACCAGCAACTGTTGCTCAGCCTTCACTGCAAGCAGCTCCCCGGGGTGCATGTCTCACAGCCCCCCCCCCCCCCGCCCTGCACACACACAATTACGGCCACTTTGGGCAGAAAAGAACATAAGAATAGTCGCTATTAAATGTGAGAGAAAAATTGCCTGGCTGGGAGCTTTTGAAAGGGAGGCATTTTGTGAGCTTTTGAAACCTAATTACTGTTTAATCAATCCAGCAACGTGCAGACTTGATATTTGCCTGTTGCAGAGGCTGGGAATTGCAGTCATTTTGCCAGTGTTGGGAGCACCCTTCATATGCTTCTCCAGACTCCCTTCCCTTTTCAGATAAAGCCAGCAAAGGCCCTCCTCCTCTTCCACTTATCTAAGGGACAGTCTCCCTCAGTGGACAGCAACTTAACAGAGTCTCACAGGGCAAGCAGGTCTTGCTGCTATGGCCCACAGTTGTGCTCCTGGAACTCGCTCTGTAGCCCAGGCTGGCCTCGAACTCACATAGATTCACATGCCTCTGCCTCCCCAGTGCTGGGATTAAATGCGTGCACCACCAACGCCAGGCTGAAGCTCCAGGTTCCTAACTGCCACATTTCCCGTCCTTTCCTCTTCATCCAACAGTGGCAAGGGAGGTGTCCCTGGAAGAATTGCTCAAAGTTTGGATCCCCCATGGGGCTTGGATACAGCTCAGTGGTAGAGTCCTTGCTTAGTAAGCGCCAGGCCCTGGGTTTGTCCTAGCACAGAGTTTGCACGCAGCTGCCCTGGAGAGAGAAGCCCCCACAGAGCAGCTCATTCTTTTCGGCTTGTTTGTTTGTTTGTTTGAAACAGGGTTTCTCTGTGTAGCCCTGCCTGCCCTGGAACTAGGTCTTGAACTCAGAGATTTGCCTGCCTCTGTCCCCAGAGTGCTGGGACTAAAGGCAAATGCCACCACCATCAGGGAAGATTTTTTTTTTATTGTAGATATGAGGTAGAGTAGAGCCAGAGGCATCTGGAAGAATCCAAATCAGGGAGAGAAAGTACTAGATTGGCTGGGCGGTGGGAGGCAGAGGCAGGCGGATCTCTGTGTGTTCCAGGCCAGCCTGGCCTACAGAGCCAGTTCCAGGACAGCCTCCAAAGCTACAGAGAAACCTTGTCTCGAAAAACAAACAAACAAAAAGAAAGAAAACAAAAGAAAGAAAAAAAGAAAGAAAGAAAAGAAAGAAGCAGATTGAACAAAGCCAGCAGACGGTAGCTGGGCATCAGAGAAGCAGGAGCAGGACAGAGAAAGGACAGCAGAGAGGAGGGAGGAGAGAGTCACAGAGAGACCAAGAGAGCATAGCTGAAATAGCAGGGCTATGAGGAGAATGAGTAGCTGTGAGGAGGAAAACCAAGGAGCTGTGAGGAGGAAAACCAAGGAGCTGGAGGGAATTAAGGGTAGGAAAAGGGGTGAGAAGGGCCAGGATGCCCTAACCCTAACCCTAACCCTAACCCTAACTGTAACCCTAACCCTAACCCTAACTGTAACCCTAACCCTAACCCTAACCCTAACTGTAACCCTAACCCTAACCCTAATCCTAGCCCTAGCCCTAGCCCTAACCCTAACTGTAACCCTAACCCTAACTGTAACCCTAACCCTAACCCTAATCCTAGCCCTAGCCCTAACCCTAACCCTAACTGTAACCCTAACCCTAACCCTAACCCTAATCCTAGCCCTAGCCCTAACCCTAACCCTAACCCTGGACTTAGAAATGTGTAATTGGCACTTGAGATACTGAGGGGGCCTAGAGGTCAGTGTGGGCTTTGGTATGCTAATGGGCACCCCTGGTAGCCATTTCTCCCTTCTGCCTTTTGGAATTTGGGGAAATGGTTCCTTTAGACCTGACAGAAACTTCATACATGAGGTCAAGTGTCCTATGTAGGCCATCCAGGCCTTCCTTCCATGAGTGTATCTATATGGCGAGTGCTATCCGTGGGTCCCTGGGCCACCACAAGTCTTAGTTAGGCTTTCTATCGCTGTGATAAACACCACAACCAAAAACAACTTGGGGAGGGCAGGGTTTCTTTCAGCTTACGCCTCTCAGGTCACGCTCCGCCTTTGAGGGACACCAGTGCAGGAACTGATGCAGAGGCCATGGAGGAGCGCTGTTTCCTGACTTGTTTCCCAGAGCTTACTCTGCTTTCTACACCGTCCAGGACCACCTGTTCAAGAACGGTACTGCCCGTTTATGGGAGGACCTGCCCGCAATACTCATCAATGAAAAAAGCTCCCCACAAGCCTCCGAAACAATACAGAGAAACCCTGTCTCGTAAAAACCAAAAAAAAAAAAAAAAAAAAAAAGCTCCCCACAGACTTGCCTAAAGGTCAGCTTTATGGAGGCATTTTCTCAAAGACCCCTCTTCCCAGAAGCCCCTCTCTTGTGTCAAGTTGATGTATTAGTTTACCAGCACTGCCACACTCATTTGAGACACCCAAAACCAAGTGTAAACCGGGTGTTGCATGCTTTAATCGCAGCACTGGGGAGGCAGAGGCAGGAGGATCTCAAGGCCAGCCTGGTCTGCCCAGCTAGTACCAGGCCAGCCAGAGCTACAAGTAACAACAGCAACAACAAAAGAAGTAGTAGCCCTACTACTCACCAGAATGTCTCCACCTGACAGTAGTTCCCCCGCCCCTCAGCACCTACTGCTAAGTGCCTTAAATAAACAAAACAGAACAACTCATGTAGTCCAGGCTGGCCTTAAAATTGCTAAGTGACTGAGGCTGGCATTGAACTCCTGATCCTTTTGTCTCCAACTCCCAAGTTCTTGGTGTGAGCCACCACACTTGGTTTTATGCCATGCTGGGGAATAAACCCAGGGCTCTGTGCATGTTGGGTACGTGGTCTACCCACTGGGCTACACCACCACTCGCCTGCCTTTCAAAGCCAAATGGAATAAACCAGTGCTTTCCCCACCTTCTGTAGCTCCCTCAGCTGGAGTGGACTCTGAAGATGTCAGCTTGCTGCCCCACCCCCACCCTAACCTGACCCCCCCCTATGCCCCATCCTCATCCTAAACGTCACCTTCTCAGAACAGTCTTTTTTTTCTTGTTTCTTTTCTTATTTTTTGTTTTTCTTTAGTTTTTGAGACAGGGTTTCTCTGAGTAACTGTCCTGGCTGTCCTGGAACTCATTCTGTAGACCAGGCTGGCCTCGAACTCACAGAGATCCGCCTGCCTCTGCCTCCCGAGTGCTGGGATTAAAGGCATGCGCCTCCAATGTCTGGCTTCCCCCTCTTCCTTTTCTTGCCTTGTCTTGCTTGGTATCAAATGTCGGTTGTAAACCCAGTTCTCCAGCCTCCCTAGTGGACCACCATGTCTGGCTCCAAGCCCCCTCTCTAGGTGCAAAGGTCTGTGTCTGAGGACCACTTTCACCACAAGGGCCTGGGAATTGATCTGAGGATGGTGGCTCCTCAGGCTTCTCAGAAAATGCTGCTTTTACCAGCTGTACCTTTAGCATTTGGTTTTTTTTTTTAAGTCTGGGACCCAATGCAGGGTCTTCTGTTGCAAGTATGCATGCAATCCCAATAGTCCCAATTATCTGTCCATTCATTCATTCATTCACTCATTCATTCACATGTGTATTGATGGACGACAGCCCGGGCCAGCCTCAGACTCATCATCATCGTGTCCCAGCTTCCCCATAGCCACCACGCTCAGGTTTCGTTAGTCTCTGACACAGGACACTTACTTGCTCAGTCCTTCCGGTCTTTCCCCACATGGCATCTGTGTTAGTTGTCTGTCACATTGCCGTGACAGGATAGCTGACTAAAGCACTCACGGAGGGCTTGGCTTTGGTCCACAGCCTGAGGGTCTCACACCCGGGGAGCAACAGTGGCGGGGACTGGAGGCAGCTGGCCAGTGCTGCTTGAAGTGCGGAGGCAGACGGAGATGAACGCAGGTCCTCAGCTCCTGTACCCCTTTCCCTTTCTGTTGGTTTTGTTTCTGTTTATCTTATGTGTGGGGAGGTCAGAGGATAATTGGGAGGAAGGGATTTCTCTGTCCACCTTGTAAGTCCCAGGGTCAATCAGGCCTCACCATTCTGAATCTGTCCAGTTGAGAAACAGAGTGAACAGGTCTGCCGACATATGGAAGTTGGTGGAGTGCTTGCTTGCCTTGACCGCGGGTGGCCCTGGATTGTGTAACCCCACCACGACATAAACTGTAATTCCAGGGTTTAAAAGGTGGAGGGAGAAGGATCAGGACTTCAAGGTCCAAGACAGTTATGCTAAAACTGTAGTTATTTTAAATACATTTTCAAATTCTTCAGGATTGTGTCCTAGGAAAGTAAATGTTAATGACATATTCTGCCACCAGGTGGCGATCTCAGCATCCCGTGATCCTTAAAGGCCCTTGGAAAAGAGCCTTTTAAACCTGAAAACCCGTTCTTTGTGCGTCATGCCAGGCCCTAAAGATGCTGGAAGCAGCTGTGTATTTGTAAAGATACACTGTGTCCTTTCCAGAAGCTTCTCATGAGTCACCCAGGTTTGGCTTTGGTAAACACCGTGTCGGGTGGGTCAGCGGGCACCCTTTGAGTGACAGGAGTTTGGAGACAGTTTGGGCCTGTGCACAATTAGGCAACGTCACTGCCATACTCGGCAATGAAGGTGATCTCGTCTATGGCTCGTCTGCTCCCTCCACCCCCTTGGCCTCCTTGTTCCTGCACCACGGTCACCTCTCCTAGCCGTCCCCTCTGCCTGGAATGCCCTTTGTCCAGATATTTCTCCACTAATTCCTTCAGCCTCCTTGGGTCCTCCGCAATAGAAGTAATAGGAGCTCTCAGTCACTGACCAATCCCTGCAGTCCCAGCTTCCCCTCCTGCCTCTGGGATCACACGGTAGCCTAAACTGCCCTCTACCTTGAAGCAATCCTGCTTCATCCTCCCCAGTGCTGGGATTACAGGCATGTTCCTCCATGTCCAGCTTCAAATTGGCTTAAGCAGGCTCCCCTGAACTCCCTACCAGAGGAAGGTTGCCCCATAGCATCCCACACACGCCCTGTCTTCCACTTCCTGGCTCAAATCTTTCCCCTGTAGCCTTCAACATCTCCTCTCACATCAAATAGCCTATATCCCAGAGAGAAGGGCTGTCCACCCAGCAAATTCACCTGGCTTGATTGGCACCAGGAAATTGTCTGTCACTGAAGAACAGGGATAATAGTTGCTTTCCGATGCTGCTTAAAAAAATTAAATTGTTCTTCATCCTTTGGCATTTATTTTGGTTTTTTGAGACAGGGTTTCTCTGTATTGCTTTGGAGGCTGTCCTGGAACTAGCTCTTGTAGATTATTATTATTGTTGTTGTGTTTTAGAGATGATCTCACTATGTAGCTTTGACTGGCCTCAAACTCACCATGCAGACCAAGCAGACCTCAGACTCACTATGTAGACCAGGCTTGCCTTGAACATATGTAGAGACCCATCTGCTTCCATCTTTTGAGTGCTGGGATTCAAGGCATATACCACAGTACAGAGCAGTAACCATTATCTTTTAATAAATGTCAGTATCTATTTTATATACCCCTCCTGGTCTTTTAACATTTTCTTTCTATTTGAAGGTTTTCTGGGGTATTCATTTACTTTGTTTTCTGTCTGGTGCTCTTTTGTTTATTTATTTTGAAAAGACTTATTTTATGCTTATGACTGTTTTGCCACTATGTGTGTATGTCCATGTACCATGTGTGCCTGGTGCCCTCGGAGGCCAGAAGAGGGACTCTCAGAGCCCCTGCAACTGCAGTCACTTCTGTGAGCCATCACGTGGGTGCTGGGAACCAAACTTAGGTCCTCTGCAAGAGCAGCCAGTGCTGTTAACCATTGAATCATCTCTCGATTTTATTTTCTTTAGGTCTGGGTGTGTGTTTGTGGGCGTGTATGTGCACCTGTGCGTGCAGTACCTGCAGAAGCCTGGGACGGGCTTCAGAGCCCTTGGAGTTGGAGTTACAGACTTTGAGGAGCTGCTTGATGTGGGTGCTGGGATCAAACTGAGATCCCCCGCCCCCATCCAGCAGCAAACACTTTTACTGAGCCGTCTCCCAGATACTTGTTTATTTATTTGAGACAGAGTCTTGCTAAGGAGCCTTGGCTGGCCTCACAGTAGTCCCCCTGCCTTGGCCTCCTAGGTGCTGTGATGACAGGGATGTGCCACCAGGGCCAGCTTCTGGTGGCTTTTTGATAAGTAAAAGTGGCTGTGGTTGTGTCTGAAGGTGGTCCCTACCACTCTGAATTCCTTGACCCACCTGCAGCTCCCCCGACCCCGCCCAATGTGGTTTTCTTTCCTCTGGCACTGGTTCTGCCGGTTTGACCATCTTTGGCTGTAAGCAGGCCTGGGGCTTGAACCCCCGAGTTCAGTGGCCTCCGCCTTTGCTAAGGTTTCAGTGACTCAGTGAAGCAGGGGGATGACATGAGGAAGTGGTGGGGCCTGTGAGGGCTGCAGAGATCATTGCGGGTGCTGCACTCTGGGGGAGCTAAGGTAGTTCTCAGTGACCCGGATGCAGTCCTCAAGAGAGTAATTGTGGGCTGGAGAGATGTGCCAGACGTTATGAGCCCTTCCTGACTTCCCAGCACCACATTGGGTAGCACACAATTGTCTGTAAGTCCATTACCAAGGAGTTTGATGCTCTCTGTTGGCCTCCACAGGCATCCATACACACATGGCACAGGAAAACACTTTAATAAAAATAATGAAAATTAAAAAAAAAAAAAGAGCCGGGCAATGGTGGCACACGCCTTTAATCTCAGCCCTTGGGAGGCAGAGACAGGCGGATCTCTGTGAGTTCTAGACCAGCCTGGTCTACAAGAGCAAGTTCCAGGACAGCCTCCAAAGCCACAGAGAAACCCTGTCTTAAAAAAACAAAAAATAAAAAAAGAAAGTTGAAGTTGGGCAGTGGTGGCACATGTCTTTAAGCCCAGCACTGGGAAGGCAGAGGCAGGTGGATCTCTGTGAGTTTTTCGACTAGCCTGGTCAACAGAACGAGTTCCAGGACAGGCTACAAAGCTTCACAGAGAAACCCTTTCTCAAAAAAAAAAAAAAAAAAAAAAGTTGAGGGCTAGAAAGATGACTCAGCAGGTAAAGATGCTTGCCGGGCAAGCCTGGTGACCTGAGTTCAAACCCCAAGCCCCATGTCAAAGCAGAAGGAGAGAAACAGTGCCATAGAGTTGTTCTCTGACCTTCAGATATGCACAGTGACATGTGTATAGCCTCATCCCCAACAGACATCACACACACACACACACACACACACACACACACACACACACGCACGCACGCACGCACGCACGCACGCAAGCATGCACGCACGCACGCATACACATAATACAAACATGTGGCTCCATGGAGGAGGACATGAACCAGTCACATGAGGTACGGTCTCTGCCAAGGCTGCAAGAGGCAGAGCCTGGAGCTCCTCCTCTCTGGGTGCCCTGACAGCAATTCTCAACCTTCCTAATGCTGCAACCCTCATGTTGTGGTGACCCCCAATCATAAAACTATTTTCATTGCTACTTCATAACTGTAATTTTGCTGTGAGTATCTGTGTTCCCTGGTGGACTTAGGCAACCCTGTGGAAGGGGTCGTGACCCACAGGTTGAGACCCACTGCTCTGGAGGCAGAGGTCCCTCCTTGTAGCTCCACCACGTCACCTTGGACTCTGTAGGGTTTGTGCATGTGGCTGGGGGGGCAGGAGGACGCTCAGGGGAAAAGACCACCACCTGGCTTCTGAATGAACAGCCAGCCCTGCCACAAGGGTCCAGAGAAACCCTGTTTGGCTTAAGTCTGTACTTTCAGATCCTTGCTCCAAATGTGCAGAGGTAGAGGATGGACCAAAAGGACTCCAGGGAGAAGTTTCAGGGTAAAAAGAAAGTGTGGGCCTGGGCAGTGGTGGCACACGCCTTTAATCCCAGCACTCTGTGAGTTTGAGGCCAGCCTGGTCTTCGAAGAGAGTTCCAGGACAGTCTCCAAACCTACAGAGAAACCCTATCTCCCGAAAAACCAAACAAAACAAAAAAGCAAGTGTAAGCCAGAGAGATGGCTCAGTGGTGGTCAAAAGGTGTCTCACCTTATGCTTGCAGGGGCTCAAGGCGGGGACCTGGAGGCAGGAACTGAATCAGAGGCCACAGAGGAGCAAGGAGCCCTGCTACTGGCTTGCTCCTCATGGCTTGCCCAGCTTGCTTTCCATACAACCCAGGACCAGCTGCCCACAATGGGCTGGGCGGGCCATGCCACATCAATCACTAGGTGCTCGCTGAGTTTGATCCTTGGGACCCACATGGTGGAAAGAAAACTCCTGAATGTTGTCCTCCGATTCCACCTAGGTAGTATGGTGTGTGTGCATGAACACACACACACACACACACACACAAATCAATCAATAAAAAGAACTTGCCCTTTTGTCAACTTTTCGTCTAAAACTAACCTTCCCAGAGAAGCTACCCGCACAGGACACACTGTCTGTTATTGCTTTGGCTTTGAAATGGGGGGTCTTGTTTAGCCCAGGCTAGCTACATAGCCAAGGTTGACCTTGAAGTTCTGACTACTTGGCTCTACTTTCCCAGTACTAGAAGTACAGGTGTTTGTCATCACTCCAGGTATCTTAGTTTCAATCCTATTGCTCTGAGAAAATACTCTAATGTGGGAGAGCACCTGGAGAGATGACTCAGCAGTTAAGAGCACTTGTTCCTGCAGAGGATCCAGGTTCAATTCCCAGCACCCACATGACAGCTCACAACTGCCTAGAATTTCTGCTCAAGGGGATTTGATGCCCTCCTCTGACCTCCTGGGGGACCAGGCAAACACATGGTACACCTATACATGCTGGCCAAGCACTCATACACGTAAAATAAATAAACCTTTGAAAAATGTTAAAATACCCAACAGAAAGCAATATGGGGGTAAAGGGGCTTCACCTTGTCTCACAGTTGCAGGCTACAGTCCATCACGGCCAGGGAGTCACAGTGGCAAGAGCTTGAAGTGGCTTGCCACATCCGTGGTCAAGAGCAGAGAGAACCAATGTATGTATGCTTAGCGCTTAGCTGGCTTTCTCTACCCTTCTGTAGTCCAGGGGTGCAGACCCGGGAATGGTGTTACCCACTTTCAGGCTGGGTCTTTCCACAATGATGAAGGCAATCAAAATAACCCCCCACAGACGTACTCGCGGACCAGTTTGATCTAGACAATACCTGTGGAGGCACTCTTCAGGGGGTAGGTTCCAGGTTGACAAGTTGAAGAAACCTTCACACCTGGGTTTGTGCAGTGGGGGAGGGGTGGGAATAGAGCCCAGCACTTCCGAAAGTCTGTGAAGTTGTCTTCTGTGTATATTTGATCCTTGGTGGATTATTTTTCCAAGTATTCGTTGGGCTCGTTAGAAAAAGAACACCTTAGTTGCTGCCTAATTACCTCCTGGTCTAGTGCACTTCAAGCAAAGCATTCTGCCACCTGAACCACATCCCCAGCCTGGGGCACACACTTCCGGTCAGTGTATGGGGGCATGGCGGAGCTTCTAGAGAAGGCGTCCAGTTCAGGCTCACTTCCTTTTCCCCGGACCCTGCAGGGGTCCTGACAGTGGGGAGAGTTTTCCTCATGTTGCAAACTCTGGTCCCTACAGCACAAGGCTGAAGGAGGGAGTGTGGGCATACCAGAAATGAGTGAAACAGTCCCTGGCACCACACCAGACAGCCTGTGCCAAGATAGTCCAGGAAAACCACACCCAGAACGGCACGAAGTAAGGCCGCAACCAGGGACTTTTTCGTAAAAAACCAATGAACAGTAGGAAAAAATAATCTGCAAAGGGTGAAACATATGCGGAAAATAATCTTACAGAAAACGTTCCCATGTGTTGGCCTTTGAAATAAACCACTGGGAAAGTAAAACTCATCAATAACTCCAGCTCTGCTCTGGCTGTTTCATGTGGGGAAGAGAAAGTGAGAACTGACTGGAAAGAGGAAGGGAAAGAAAGAAGCAGAAGAAAGAATGAAAGACGGCCCGGCCCTTTGGAGGGAGAGGCCAGACCAGTGAGAGTTTGAGTAAGAGTTTGAGGCCAGCCTGGGCTACATAATGAATTTCAAGTCCAGACCAGCCGGGACTAACGAACTACACATAGTGAGACCCCTCCCCCATCTCAAAATAAAACAGAATAAAAGTAAAATTTAAAACAAAATGAAAAACAAGAAAGCCTGATGGAGACTGGGAAGGCAGGGAAGTTGGGAAAGCGCTTGCCTCGCAAGCCTGACAATCCAAGTTGGAGCCCAGAACAGGGCAATGCGCCCAGCTGCCATTGACCACTGTGAGACTCTACCCAGAGCAGACAGAGCTGACGACACCACTGTGAGACGACTCTAGCACAGAGCAGACAGAGCAGCTCAGCTCTGACACCACTGTGAGACTCTACCCACAGAGCAGCTCAGCTCTGACACCAGAGGCAGCCCTTGGAGCTACAATTACTCTATGTGGTCCATCTCAGAAGATGACACTTAGATCACTGGAGAGTAAAAATCAATTTTATTTAATACAACACCCCTCAGGGGCCCTGCAGCCGGGTGGCTGAGACAAACAGGGAAGATGATGTTAGATATGAATGTTCCACGGCAACATGGAGGCAGCTCCCATCCCCCACTCAGGCCACCCTTGGAAACAGCCCAGGACCTCAGGAGACCGTTTCTTTAGCGGGGAATAAATAAAAGAAAAATTAGTGAGAAAAGTACACATTTTCTTTTATTATTAAAAAAAATGCCATTTGCTGTAGGCAACCATTTCTCCTCTTTAGGCCTGCAGCAAGGGAGAGGAAAAGGGAAAAGAAAGACCCGGAAAGCAGTTAAAGGACATCTGAGCTCGCTCTCCCCAGTCTAATTTTCACCTGCTTGTGGCTTGCCTTCAAGCTGCCGCTCCACAGGCGCTCCTCCCAGTCAGCCGCCCCACCCCCACCCCACCCCACGTTCGTGAGGGAAGCCACCATACAGGCCACAGGTGACTGTCTGAGCAGCACTGTATACTTCCAAAGAGCAAGGCCTGCCCAGAAGGAAAAAGAAAGACAGAAAGAAAACAAAACAAAACAAAATCTAACCCCCGGAGTCCAGACCATTCGCTAAAAGTAACTAACTGACTACAGGACAAAACCACGCTTCCTTGTAGGAGGCACGTGAAAAAGCACGTTGTCTCTCTGAGATGCGGCATTTGAAATTCAAAATATTCCAGGGGTTTGTTCACCCCGAACCTCCTCTCACTCTTCCAAATTGCAAGGATGCTTGAGCTTGGAAGGACGGTCAGGCTGGCCACTAAACTGCCCCGCTGATTCTCTTTATACCCAACATTAATAAGGCAAGAGATTTAAGAATGGATGGCTCGGCCTGAAGAAATGCTACTTTCAGCGTGGGCAGGGCCGGTTCCTAAATAAGTGCGCAGGACTCTTGGAATACGGGAATCGGCTGCTCTTCTTGGGACGTGGGTGCCCTCCCAGGCACGTGCACCTGTCGTGGCTGTCTTAAGTTCCATCAAGCGAGCCGCCCGTTCTCTGCAGGACAGAAGACAGGATAAGTTAGGCCACGCCCTCAGGACTAGAGAGCACCCTGGAGAAGAGAGTACAGCAGAAGGGAACTGCACAGGGGCTGGGGATGGGGGCCCTTGGGTTCAGCGTTTGCCAAACATGTAAGAGGCCCTAGGCTCCACCACCAGCACCACATATGGTACATGTCTGCAATCCCAGCACCCAGGAGGTGAAGGCAGGAGGCTCACACGTTCAAAGTCCAGTTCTAGGCTAGCCTGGGATATGTGGAGATCTTGACTCAAACCAACAAAAACACTGCAAGCTTTGCCACCATCCTCCGGGAACCTGACTTCTAGGGCAGCGGTGGTCCCCACCCATCTTCTGTTCTCTCCGTGGCTGCTCTGTTAGAGCTGCCGTCTCCAGCCCTGCACCCTTGGTGTACTTGTACTTCATTTTCAAGTCACCACAACCGGTACCCACGTGCACCGGTGTGGTGTCCATAGGCACTGCACGAGGGGGGGGGGGACGACACTGTCAGGCACAAAAGATCTCACATATGGCTCCAGCCAGGACCTCATGACCTCCAGCTAACACAGCGCCCTCCAGTCTGCCTTTGTTATGTTTTTGTTTTTGAGGCAGAAACTCACTCTATAGTCTGAGCTAGCCTGAGGCTTTCTGTAGTCCTCTGGCTTTAACCTTCCCAGGGTTGGGATTGTAGGTGTGAGTCACCAGGCCATCTAAGGTCCTTAGATTAGCCTTTTAATTAAAAAACTTGGCTAGGCATGGTGGCGCATGCCTTTTTATCCCAGCACTCAGCTGATAGAGGCAGGTGAGTTCAAGGCCACCCTGGTTTACATAGCACAGACTGCTAGGGCTTTCTGGCTTCAAGCCTAGTGAAAATTATGTCCACACCAGGTTCAGGGAGAGACCCTGTTTCAAAGGAATAGGCAGGCGGTGTAAATAATACACACACACACACACACACACAAATCCTTTAAAAAAAAAAGGTCTAGAGGACTAGTGAAACTGCTCAGTGGGTCAAGGTGCTCATTGCCAAGGCTGATGAACCAAGTTCAATCCTGAGACCCAGAGGGTTGAAGGAGAGAACCAGCTCCCAGAGGTTGTCCTTTGACCCTTGTATGCTTGTATATATGCACAAATAAACGCATAATAAGAATTTAAGGAGAATAGTCTGGAGACCAATTGTGGTGACAGTTGCATAATAATAGGAATGTACCTCAGGAAACTGAATTCACTTTTTTTTTTAAGTTCTGGGGAAGGACCTCACACTGCTAGGCATGGGCTCTGTCACTGAGCCACAAGCCCAGCTCTTGAACAATATATATATATATTTTTTTGGTTTTTCGAGACAGGGTTTCTCTGTTGTTTTGGAGGCTGTCCTGGAACTGGCTTGGTAGACCAGGCTGGCCTTGAACTCACAGAGATCCACCTGCCTCTGCCTCCCAAGTGCTGGGATTAAAGGCATGCGCCACCAACGCCCAGTGTGAACAATATTTTTAACAATAATACAGTGGTTAATTTTGGGCTGCATATGTTTTACTATAATAAAAAATTAAGGAAAAAAAAAAGCCAAGCATGGTGACAAATGATTACAGTCCAGCACTCAGGAATGTCAAGAGTTCAAGGTCATTCTCAGCTGTATAGACAGCTCCTAGCTAACCTGGAGACCCTGTCTCAAAATAACAACAAGCAGAGCTCCAAATGGTAGCTTGAGTCACCCACTCACCTCCTGGAACCAGGACCCTTATCTGACCTGGCACTGATCTCTACACTGAAGAGTACAGACTCTGCCCCAAGGATCTCATATTCCATCAACGATTTTGTGTTTGTTTGTTTGTTTTTGTTTTTCGAGACAGGGTTTCTCTGAGTAACTGTCCTGGCTGTCCTGGAACTAGCTCTTGTAGACCAGGCTGGCCTCGAACTCACAGAGATCCGCCTGCCTCTGCCTCCCGAGTGCTGGGACTAAAGGCGTGCGCCACCACCGCCCTGCTCAACGACTTTGCATTTGCGCGTGTGGACAACGAGAGTCTATTCAGTTGTGTGAACGTGGACCTGTGCACTACGGGTTCATGTGCAGGCAGAAGGTAGTCTCACTAGTTTGAGACAAGGTCTCTTAGTGTTCACTGGTGTTAACTGGCCCAAGAGCTTCTAGACGTTCCCCACCTCCCATCCCTGCAAAGGAATGCTGGGATTACAGATGTCCGATTTTTATAAGGATTGTGGGGATTTGAATTCAGGTCCTCACTCTTGTCATGCAAGGGTTTCAACCTCCCCACCCTTCAGCAATTACTGGGCATCAGCACTGCTATGAAGTAGTCTGGGGAGAGTGAGGGCATCAGGTACTGAGCAGAGAGTGGGTCACAGAAGTGGCTTGAGCTGACTGAGGATTTTGTAAACTTGAAGGGCAAAGGGCTGGGCATGCTGGGACATGTGGGAGCAGAGAACCCTTGAGAACGGCGAGCCCCAGAGAACAGGAAACGTCGGAGCCCACTGTTCTGAACCCTCCGTGGACACAGGACTCCGTGCTGTGAGTAGAACTCCCAGAATGGGAACAAAAGAAGATTGTAAAGGTTGCCTGGCATCTTGGGAACCTGATGGCCAGACTGCCTGGCCTCCTGAGGCGGGAGCCGAGATAGTCTGTCTCCATTTTGTTTTGCTGGCTCTGGGGCTTCTAGAAAATGATGCAGATCTGAGAGGCCCAGCTAGAAGGCCAAGGCTCCAGCTCCCCCTTCACCAGGAGAGAACTGCACAAATGGGCCAAGAGAGCTGTGTGGCCCCAGAAGACTGGAGGCTTGCCAGCGCTGGCAGCTGCCTTCTGCCATTTCCTTCCCTCTCCCAGAGAAGGGAGACGTGATCCTCGTGTCCAGGCTCTCTGTAGGCTCCTGACCAAGTCTCTCCCCAGACGCCTCTGTTCTCCCTCTCTTTAGGCAAACAACACTCTAGATAATGCTGTGGGTCCAGCTCCACAGACAGGAAGGGCTGGGCCAGAAGCAGGGCCCCAGGAACTTTGCAGTAAAGGTTAACACACCCGCAATGAGGACTGTCAGCCACCCACGTTCAGCTATGGAACTGCCCTGCTTTCTGCTCAGAATGTGGTGCCAAGTAACCCCAAAGGCCCTCTGATTCCATCTCCCCTCCCTGATCCCTAACTCCTAGAGAGCACCCAGCATGAGCACTTTCTGTCTATGAGGGCTGTGCCCAGTGCTCACTTAATCCCTGCAGTATCTAGGTTGAGAAGTCACCAAGTTTATAGATGTGGAAATGGGGCTTGGGAAGATGGCACAGGCCTGAATACTGACATGAGTTCTACCCCACAGTACAAGGGAATGGACTCTTGAAAGTTACCCTGATTGCATCATGAGCACATCTGCATTCACACACAGACACACACACACATGCACACACACATACATACACACAGACACACACACACAGACACACACACACAGACACACACACACACATACACACATAAAAACAGACACACACACAGACACACACACACAGACACACATAAAAACAGACACACACACACACACAGACACACACACATACACACATAAAAACAGACACACACACACATACACTCATAAAAACAGACACACACACACACACACACACACACACACACACACGGAATTTTTTAAATGATAACTGATCACAAAACAGAATCTTACAGATTAAGCTCCTAGTTAGGGCAACTCAGGTTTAAATGTGGGTCTCCAACGCCTATACCAAGATTTGGCTTTGGTTGAATCCTAAGCCTTGAGTGTGTTTCCCCGTGTGTGGGTGTCGGGGGGGGGGGCATTTCAAAAACAAATAAAGTAAACTCTTAACCACATCCACTGATGCCAGCACTTGAGGAAAAGACGTTTAAAGGAGATAAGTTGTTCTCTATGATTGCTTGGGGTTTGCAAAGTATCTATCTCACTTAACCCTTAAGAAAAGCCGGGCGTTGGTGGCACACGCCTTTAGTCCCATCACTCGGGAGGCAGAGGCAGGCGGATCTCTGTGAGTTCCAGACCAGCCTCCAAAGCCTACAAGAGCTAGTTCCAGGACAGCCTCCAAAGCCACAGAGAAACCCTGTCTCTAAACACCCCCCCCCCGAAAAACAACTTGAAGAAAATCCCAGTAGGCAGATGCTATTGCAGATGTCACCATCCCTTGCATCATCATTATCACCAACATTATCATCGCCATCATTGTCATCTCCATCCCCAGCATCACCGTGCTGCCACCACCATCGTTATCATCATTACCACCATGGTCACCACTGTCATCCCCATCACCATTATTACCACCGTCTCGACTTGGCAGCTAGGGGTGTTTAGGCTCGAGGAAGTCTGTAGAACTGGAACCCCACTCTCCAGCTGCCTCAGTCCCCTTCTGGGGCAGGTCCTATCACAGCCCAGGCCCCTGCTGGCCCTGGGGAAGGAGGGAAGGGAGCCATAGCTGGCATTGTCTTGTTCCCTAAGAGTCAGGGTTCTTTTCAAAACCTGGAGGCCTTCACGGGTCCAGATTCCCCTTCTTCCCTTCAAGTACAGGCTGTTCCCTTCCACGTTATCTGTCTGAGTGGGCCACAAACACAATTTATAAACAAGGCAAAAATGGCAGAGGAAAAATGAAGTCAGAATGTGCCATTAAAGCAAGTCAAACAATACCAAGCTAGTAGCTGGCTAAGTGGCTGTCTCATTGTCCAGATATTTCCTCCAATATGTTTTCAGAAGCAACGGCAGTTAAACAAGAGGGGAATGATTGCCAGGTTTGATTTCAGGAAGGAAGCCCCTCCCATTTCCCTGCTGGGCAATTCTGTTAATTTTCTTCTGCTTATTAGGGAAACTGCCTACTTCTTTCATAAACAAAATCTATTTGCTTCAAGATTCGAAGTTCATTTCTCAACGGCTGGGAACCCCTTAGTTCCCGCCAAATGGCTTTATGATTTTGGGGGCAGGACTTACTAGCCCAAGTATTTGGAGCATCCTGGGACCAGAGCACACTTTGGGGGCTGAGGGAAAGCCACTCCCCGACTGGCCTGGAGTTCAGAGCCTTTGTACAGAGAGGCCCTTTTGGTGGTGCAAGACAAAATTCTGCAGAGAGCTGATTGCCAGGCTGCAGCCGTTCCTCGGATGGCCACAGATACATGCAGCCATGCAGGCAGCCAGAGAACTGGCTTTTATCAGGGTCCTACACTATTTATGGGGCAAGACTGTCACTCAGCTCTCACGGAACAGTCCTGTCACTTCTTAATATTGAGGCCAGAGTGCTGGCCAGGGCTTTTGGAAACTTGAGCTCTGTTCTTGGCTCTGTGTGATTCTGGGCAAGCTGTTTTACCAAGCCAGGCCTCTGTTTCTTCATCTATAAAATAGGCCCCCTTCCCCCTTCCAATCCAACAATATGCTGTCAGAAACCTAGGTGGCTGCAGGCTAGAAAAAGCCATTCATTTCGCCCCTCTTTTCCTCAAACGGATAACTTTCCTCCATACAAAGGTCAGCGCCTTCCTGTCTGTCACAAGCATAATGAACTCTGTTTAACAAGAATTCAAACCCAGAAAAACAAAGGAAGCCAGGGGCCCACTGAAGGCTGCAGGGGTTTTGCTGGAAGTTTCCCCCAGGCCCAAAAGACCAATTCAGAGGCAAGTTCCTTATTTTTGAAGATAATAGCTGCTCCGGTAACCCTGTGGGGCTGGGTGCCCACAGACAGTCTGGGAACAGGAAGGCAGTGGACTCGGCATGGATTGAACTTAAACCCCTTCCCCTCCTCTCCCTCCCTCCTTTCTTGTGTGTTCTTCTGTGTGTGTGTGTGTGTGTGTGTGTGTGTGTGTGTGTGTGTGCATGTTCCTATGTGTGTAGAGGCCAGAGGTCAATCTCAGATGTCATTCCTTAAGAACAGCTCATCCTTTTCTTTCTTTCTTTCTTTTCATAGGGTCTGTTGTTAGTATCCAGGCATCTGTACTAGCCTGTCCTTGGGGTTCTGACAGGATACGCCCTCAACTGCAGCCACTAAGAGCACCACCTGTGCACATTCACTATGTTCCCTTTTAAAAGGGCCTTGCCCACCTTCCATCCCTCTCTCTCTCTGTCTCTCTCTGTCTGACTGTCCCCCTACCTCCCTCTCTAGTTCCCCCTCTTTCCTCTCTCCCCCCCTTTCCTTTCTCCTCTCCTGCTGCTTCTGTCTCCCTCCCTCCCTTTCCCCTTTTTATGATCCCTTTTCCCCAAAACACCAAAACCAGAAACAACATAAAAAAAAAAACCCTTTACTTGAACCCTGTCACATGGCGTCTTAAATTACAACATCTCTCGCTGGCCTCAAGTTCACCAAGTAGCCTAGACTGGTTGGTCAGCAGGCCGCAGGGAACTGCCTGTCTTCACCTCCCCAGGTTACGAGTGTGAGCCACTACACCTGAACCTTTCTTTCACTTTGTGTTTTAGGATTAAACTCAGATTGTTGAGAAAACACTTTATCGGCTGAGCTATCTCCCCAGCCCCTCCTCTCTTCTTTCCTTCTCTTTTCTTCCTCCTCCTCCCTCTCTCATCAGGGACTTAATATGTAGCCCAACCTGGCCTTGAACACAAAGTTCCTCTTCCAAGCTTGCCTCGCTATGCCTGAGACTCTGTCTTCTTATTAAAAGAGCTGTAGGATTCCCAACCACGACGGAGGACATCCAGGATCCCTCTCCCTATACAGACGGAGCTATGATGGGGTAAACAGGACAGAGAAGCGATCCTGGAGCTGCTGGTTTAGACTGCTAGAGGAGGTCAGGGCTCCTGGTCTCCAACAGTCACGTTAGCAGGAGGTGGGGGAGAATTAGTGGAAAGCAGGGCAAATTGGGAAATAGTTCACTGTTCTGTAGAATACTTTTGTAAACAAACAAACAAACAAAAACCAAATGACAACAACAAAAGTCACTCTGCAGTCCAGGCTGTCCTGCAAAGTCACCCTGTAGTTTAGGATGGCCTCAAACTCTCACAGCAAGTGTTAGTGGGTATGAAGTATGTACTTACAGAATATCTGTTTTCCACGACATCTGCAAAACAAAGACATCACAGTGGTGAGTGTGCAGGGCCTAATGCAGCTTCACACCAGAGCTGCTGCTGGGGCTAAGCTAGCAAGAGGGAGGGGACACCAGTGCAGAAGGGGTCTCAGGCCATCTGTTGATGGTCTTTTGTCCCTAGACAAGCTCTTGGGGTTGTTCTAGGCCATGTGATAGGCATGTAGAGGACCTGGAATCTTCTTTGACTTTTTTGTTTGTTTGCTTTGCTTTTTTTGAAGCAGGACCTAATGAAGTGCTGGCCTCTTAACTCACTGTGTAGCTGAGGCTGACCTTGAACTTCTGATCCTCCTGCTTCCAGCTCCCTAGTGCCAGGCATTACAGGCCTGTGCTGTCACACCAGTTTATATGATACTGGGGATCAAACTCCACAGATTCTAGGGAAGCACTTTACCATCTGAGCTACACCCTGTCTCAGAGAGAGAGGGAGAGAGATGATGGACAGATGGATGGATGGAGGGAGGGAAGGAGGGAGAAGGAGGAGGAGGAGGAGGAAGAGGAGAAGGAGAAGAAGAAGCAGAAGAAGAAGAAGGAGAAGAAGAAGAAGAAGAAGAAGAAGAAGAAGAAGAAGAAGAAGAAGAAGAAGAAGAAGAAGAAGAAGAAGAAGAAGAAGAAGAAGAAGGAGGAGGAGGAGGAGGAGGAGGAGGAGGAAGAGGAGGAGGAGGAGGAAGAGGAAGAGGAGAAGGAGGAGGAGAAGGAAAAAAGAAAGGCCAAGAAAATCCTAAAAAGAAGAGACTTTGAGACATGTATGGTGGCTTACTCCTGTAAATCCAGCACTCAAGATTTGAAGCAGAATTACCAAGAGTTCCAGACTCTCTCTCAAAACAACAAATACATAAAACTCTGCTTTCCTCGAGTCTACCTGCCCTTAAACCCCTTTTCTCACTCTCTTAGTTCTTTTTGAGACATGTTTCATTGTGTAGTCTTGACTGTCCTGGAACTCATCTGTGATCTGTAGATCAGGCTGGTCATGAATTCAGAGATCAGCCTGTCTCTGCCTCCTGTGTGTGGGGACTAAAGGCTGGATTAACCCTTAAAGTGACTACTCCCCTACATGTCCAGGTGGACAGATGTAGAGGGGCCAAGGGCTAAGGAAATGATCTCCATTTCCAAACTCTAGGAGACTGAAACAATTTTTATTTATTTATTGGTTTGGTTTAGTGGCCCTGGCTGTCCTGGAACTTTTTTATAGACCAGGCTGGACTCGATCTCACAGAGATCCTGAGTACTAGGATTAAAGGTGTCCAGTTTATCTATGTACTCTTATTGCATTTACTTACTTAATTTGGGGGGTAAAGTACACATGCCACAGTGCTCATTCTCAGGTCAGAGGACCTCAAGTTTCAGGGCTCAGTTTTGCCTTCCACAATGTGAATCACAGAGTTCAAACTAAGGCTGTCAGGCTTGGGTGACAAGAGCTTTTACCCACTGAGCCATCTTGCCAGCACAACCTTGGGACTCTTAGAATGTTGTGAGTATAAGAGAACTTGAAATTGTTGGTTCATTCCCTTTATTTGACAGATGAAAAAGCTGAGCCTGACCATTGACAGACAGGGCAGAGTGCTGGTGACCAAGGCTGCCAGAGGCAGCGGGGTGGGGTTACAGTTACTGGTTAAGGAATGGGAAAGATGAAAAGATTCTGAAGATGCATGGCGGGAACGGTGACTGCCTAACAGACCCAAAGGACTTAAGCACAATGGATTAGCCTTCTACATATTTGAAAACAGTTAGCATATTAATTTTATGTACGTTTTTACAGTATAAGAAAAGAAGGTAAGCTCAGAGTCTAAAGCCAAGCTTGCAAACAGTGTGCACCTCCCATGACCTGCAAGCTCCCCTCCTGTCTCTTTGTGATCCCCCCCCCAATTTCTCCTAGGGCCCCTTCCCTGGCCACTCCTTGGAGGCAGTCCTGCCCATGGCCTTCTGCTTATCTAGGGGAGTGGCCTTCCTTTGAGTTTCTCAGGGGGAAGGGGGTTTAAGAGCCAATACTACGCCCTATGAGCCATTTCCCAAAACAGTCGCTGGTTGGAAGACAGCAAGGGACGTGAGAGGGCAATGTCTCCTAAGATCTGGCCCCACACCTAGCAGCTACTCATTTTCCTTCCACATCACACAAGGTTTCTGGATTTTCTCTGTCAGCCGTCCCTGGCTGATCACTCCAGGGAATTAAAGGGACCCTGGGAGCAGGACCTGTGCGGCACAGTAACAGCACCCACAGATTGACTCTAAGTCCCCAGTCCAGCCCAGGCCAACAGCGTATGGATGGTCAGAAATGCAAACTCTTCAACCTAAAGGCCTCAAATATTCAGGGCTGGGAGTGATCAGAAAATCTGAGTTTCAACAAATCTTGAGAACCTAGAATCTAGTCTATTCCCTCATTTCATAGACAAGGTGACTATGTTGGCTATTTTTATATCACCTTGTCACAAGCTAGAGTCATGTGGGAAGAGGGACTAGCAGCTGTGAAAACACTTCCATTAGATTGCCTATAGGCAAGCACTTTCTTGATTAATGATTGATGTGAGGGGCCCAGTCCACTGTGGGTGGTGTCAACCCTAGGCAAGTGATTCAGGTTCTATAAGGAAGCAGGCAGAGCAAGCCATGAGGAGCAAGTCAGTAAGCAGCATTCTTCCATGCCCTCTGCATCGAATCCTACTCCAGGTTCCTGTCCTGTTTGAGTTCCTGTCCTGACTTCCCTCAGTGACAGACTATGATGTAGAAATGTAAGCCAAATAAACCATCCCCACCCAACTTGCTTTTAGTCATAATGGTTGTTTTTGGTTTGGTTTGGTTTTTCGAAACAGGGTTTCTCTGTAACTTTGGAACCTGTCCTAGAACTAGCTTTGTAGACCAGGATGGCCTCAAAACTCACAGAGATCTGCCTGCCTCTGCCTCCTGAGTACCGGGATTAAAGGCATGCGCCATCACCGCCATTCGGCTTGGTCATAATGTTTTATCCTAGCAGTAGAAACCCTAACTAAGACAGTTATGGAAGTCTTAGAATGTTCCACGACTTCACCAGGACCATCCAGGGCTCAAGTCACACAAGGATGTGGATTTTAACTTCTAGAACAGGTAGAGCTGGATTCTCCAGTGGATCTGGTGGTGACTGGAACCCAAGCCAAGACAGATGGACGGTGGAGAGGATGAGAAGCCTGAGGACTCTGCCCCATTAACAGCCACTTTCTTGCAGTCTGCCTTCCCTGGAAGGCTAAGGCTTCTCACTTCTCTTGTCTATTTCTTTTTCTTTCCTTTTCTTTTTAAATTCTTTTTTTTAAACTTTGTGTGTACGGGTGTTTTGTCTGAATGTATGTATGTCTGTGTACCATATGTATTTCTGGTGCCTCTGGTGGCCAGAAGGGGGTGTCAGATCTCCTGGAACTGGAGTTACAGATGGCTGTGAGCCACCATGTACACACTGGGAGCCAAAGCCCGTCCTCTGCAAGAACAGCCAGGGTTCGTCACTGCTGAGTGGTCTCTCGGGTCCCTCATTCTTTCTTCTCTCTCTCGTTTTCTCTGTCCCTCCTTCCATCTTTTAAAGACAGGTATGTAGCCTAGGCTATTCTTGAATTTGATATGTAAGCAATGGTGACTTAAAATTTTGATTTTCCAGCCTCTACCTCCTCTGTGCTAGGATTACAGGCATGTACTGGCATGCTCAGCATCTTGTCATTTCTTTACATGTTAATTGTTCTTTGTTAAGTGGTTACATAAATCCCCACCCTTTTTGTGTCATTCCTAGCTGAGATTTCCTCTGCCTGTTAATTAACCCAGTTTGTTTATTCCTTGTTGGTCTGTCTCATCTCATTTGCAAGACCTAGGCAGAAACCAGAAACCCAGAAGTATAAAGGGAAAAAACTATTCTACCAGTTCCTTCCCTGCCAACAAACACAATGCAACTAGAAATGTGGAATCTAGTCGGGCATTGGTGGCGCACGTCTTTAATCTCTGCACTCAGGAGGCAGAGGCAGGTGGATCTCTGTGAGTTCGAGACCAGCCTGGTCTACAAGAGCTAGTTCCAGGATAGTCTCCAAAGTCACAGAGAAACCCTGTCTTGAAAAACCAGAAGGGGAAAAAAAAAAGAAAAAGAAAAAAGAAAAGAAATGTGGACTCCAGCTCTTGGTGCTTAGAGGCATGTTTTTGTGATCTTGGTAAAGTGTCTTACACTATCTGTGCTTGTGTATTAATGTGATTGTAGTGGGAGGGAAAAAGTCAGACCCTAAGAGTTGATGCTCTTCTGGGCTTTTCCCCCTGCCCACTCTCAAGGCCCCATCAATGATTCTAGGGTGGACCCTCCCACTCCGAGAATCAGGGCCCCTCACTCACTAGGGTTCACCTTCCGGATCTCACTGTACACCGTCTCTGTGGCTCTCGTTCCCAGAGCTGGAAAAGGGACCAGGCACAGGTCAGTAGCTACCTCTGGGACTCAGGCCAGTTCACTGTTAGACCTACCCACTACCCAACAGAGCCCCTGTCCAGAAGTCACAAAATATGTCACTCTCCAACTTCAGAATATACCAACCTGCTGGGCGGTGGTGGCTCACGCCTTTAATCCCAGAACTCGGGAGGCAGAGGCAGGTGGATCTCTGTGAGTTCGAGACCAAGACTGGTCTACCAAGCAAGTTCCAGGACAGCCTCCAAAACAATACAGAGAAACTCTGTCTCGAAAAAAAAAAAACCCAAAAGAATATATGAACCTGCTGGGCGGTGGTGGCTCACGCCTTTAATCCCAGCACTCGAGAGGCAGAGGCAGGCGGATCTCTGTGAGTTCGAGACCAAGCCTGGTCTACCGAGCGAGTTCCAGGACAGGTTCCAAAACAATACAGAGAAACCCTGTCTCGAAAAAAACAAAACAAAATAAAAAAAGAACATACCAACCTAACTAGAAGCTCAGTGAGATTGAAAGTAGGGCAACAGGCTACTCAGGGAAGAGGATGGCTGCAGAGAGAAATCTTGGCTGAGGAGCCAAGAGGTGGACTCTGCACAGACCCAAAGTCCCTAGCCTCGTGACCCCACCCTTCTTTTCCTGCCACAGAGATGCTGTGCTGGCTGCTCTGCCAGGACTTTGCCATCAGGGCTAGCCTATGTGACAACCTCACTCTCCAGAGGCTGTATCCCAGGAACTAGAAGTGGATCCTGAGGTCTAGGCTGAGCCTAGCATCAGCAGTGGCCATACAGATCAGTTGCAGACAGAGCTGGATGGGCTAGCTGCCTTTGGTGCCAACATCTGGGCTCATTGCAGATGAGCCACTCATTCTAAGTGAAGCACTCTGGGGCTGGTTCTGGCAATAGTTTTGTGTTGTCTTGTTGCTATTTTTTCATTTCTTTTGTCTTTGAGACTGTCTTGTGTAGCCCAGACTGGTCTTGAACTTGCTGTGTAATCCAGGAGGGTCTTGAATTCCTGATCCTCTTGCCTTCACCCCCCCAAGTACTGGGATTACAAACTTGTATCATCATACCTAGGTACACTGGTCTAGAGCTCTGCAGAGCCTCACACCTGTAGCCAGGTCATAATTCTCAGGGTTAGACCCTTTCAGAACAGAAGACAAGGCTATCCATTTATTTCATATTGAAATACATTCACAGGGTGTGTATACACAGGCATTGTGCACACTCACAGAGTATGTACACACTGTACATACAGACACGTACTCCTGTTATACCCACTTGTGCACAGTATCCACACTCACAAACACAGGCATGCACGCATAGACCCAGAGACCCTGAGGAAGCAGGACAAAACCTGGACACACCCTAGATTTCTGTCCCCTGCAGGAGAGATCAGGAAGTCTCCTTGCACAGCTGGATTGGTGTGGACCAGCCCCCTCCTCTGCTTTCTGCCCCAGATAGGCTGAGATGCCCTGTACCCACAGCATCCTGGGTGCATCTTATCCTCACTGCAGATGCCTGGGGCACCGCATGGATTCTATGATACCTTCTTTCACCATTCACTTCTCTTCACTATTCACTTTTCACTCCGAGGCCACTCCTACCGGGACTCTTCCTTTCTCTGGACCCTGAACGCTGCCATTGTCCTTTCTCTTACCCCACTGTTCCAAGATTCTGAGCACACATCACCCCCATGGCTGTGTGCATAATCCCACACTCGCATCTTCCCACAGCTGCCTGCCCTGGTGGATCCCCAAGCTCTTCTAGTTCAAAGCCCAAACTTATGCCCCCTCTCACTCCCAGGCTGTACGTGGTTTCCCAGGGGTACTTTTCACTTTTGAAGTGACGGTGAAGCATCTCTGTCTTAGACCCTTGAACTTCAGAATCTAGGCACAGTCAGCCCCATTTCCTGAGCACACTCCTGGAGGAACAGGAGGCAGGCATAGACTAAGGTCCAGGTTCTTCATTAGACACTGGATGCTGGTGGCTATACAAGTCCCATATGTTAGAGAAAGCCTGAGTAGTCCACATCCCCAGAGGAGAACTTGGGACACCCAGAGTGATGAAGGCATTGCAGAAGGAAATAAAGTGACTCTCCAGGCAGGAGTTGGAGTTCAGTGGAGTGGCTGAGGTTCCAGTGCCCCAGAGTGCAAGGACGTCTGCCTAAGAGAACGGATGGGAGACAGCATAGAAGCCCACACAACCCTCTACATGCTGCTCTGGAAGCAGAGATGGAAATTCCAGGGGTCTCCAAACCCGCTGTGGGGCCGTTTACATACGCAAGAGACCCATTCTGCACTACCGTACTCACCTACATGGCCTGATCCACTGAAGCGGGAAATGTGGATCTGGTCCTAGCTTTCAGATGCTCTAGGCTTCAGGGAAGACAGATGTACAAAGAGCGTTAATGAGCTAGCTGAAGGTGTGGCTCCGGGGTCCAGCACTTGCTCAGCTATGTACAGGGCCCTGGCTTTAAGTCCCGGCACAAAGACACAACAAACAGATATGACAGGGCTAGGGAGAAGGCTCAGCGGATAAGAACACGCCTTAGCTCGAATCCCCAACACCCCATGAAAATGTGGGGCCCAGTTACAGTGTTAGGGGCAGAGGTAAGAGGGGTGCTAGGACTTGCTGGATGGCAGCCTAGATCCAGGACAAGCAGGGGACCCTGTCCCAAGAGAACAAGGTGACAAGTGATAGCAAGGCATCTCACATCCCTCCTTGGTCTCTGCAGGCGCTCAGGGACGTGTGCACCCCACCATGTGTACACACACACACACACACACACACACACACAGAGTGTACCCCACCATTTACACACATACAGAGAGAGAGAGAGAGAGAGAGAGAGAGAGAGAGAGAGAGAGAGAGAGAGAGAGGGCTATTAGCAATGCTGTGATAATTGCTGTAAGATGCTGTCCAAGAGAGGATGGCCAGGTCTTCTGCCCAATCCCAACAAGGAGTTAGGACAGGAAATGGATGAACTAGGGGAGGGCTGGGCAGCCACACCTGGGCAGGGGTAGTCTGGACACCTTGTGAACTCCACTGTCCCCAAGCATGTCAGCATACCAGGGATGGCCCCATGTTCTACGGTTGCCCCTGGCTTTGCCCAGCTCGGTGGTGGTAATGGGGGCCGGGGGGGGTGCAGCTGCTCGTGCCCTTCCTCCTCCCGTGTCCCTGTGGCAGCAGCTGCCTGCTAATGACTAACCCAGGCCAGCAGGCTGTTTGTCTCTGCTGTCAGAGGCGTTTCCTGATGGGACTCTATTCTGGTTTCTGTTTTTCTCTGGGTTGACAGAGAAAGAGGAGATGGCTTCTACGTCATGGGGTTTTCCCAGCAATTAGCCTCGAAGCAAACAGACAGCGAACTGGGACTTAATGAGTTCCTTCCCGCCCTGCTCCTTCCCCATCCCGCTTGGTTAGCTGCCAGCCAGGGTTAGAGCTGGACACGGTCCCTGTAGTACAGCCTCCTCCAACTGTGAGGGATGGGAGACCATGAGAACCGGGCACCAGGCTGGCAGACACCAGTTCCCAGTTAGTCATCTCTGGCCTTGACTCCACAAAGCCCTTTCTTCATCCAGTAACGCCTAGGCCCTGCCTGGGAGGGGACAAGGGGCCAGCACCAGTTGTTCAGACCTGAGTTCCTTACCGCCCTTGTGCAACAAGGAGGCTGGGACAAATAAATACAACTTGTATCCCCCTTGCCACCCGAAAGACCTTTATTCTAGAATTTCCCCAAAGCCCTGGCTGAGCACACAGCAGCTTGTGCGAGCTGAGAAATGTGACGGATAGCTTGGCTGCGAGGGACAGCTGCAGAGCCTGGCGAGGGAAGCCGGAGGTAATTGTCACCGTCCCACCCCATTCTAGGAACTGCCACACTTCCTCCATTTAATCCCTCCACACCCTCAAGACAGCAAAAGATCACCAGATACAAGGACACATTCCCAGCGAGAAGGGAAGCCGAGCCTTTCCCACGAGCACTGGTACTTCCTCGTTCCCTTTTCAGCCTCCTTAAACCCCACACTCCCCAGATACCACGCACAGCCCTCAGGATTCTGCCTGCCGAGACATAGGACCTCTGTGGGAGGATTGAAGCAGCCAGAGGCCAGGGTGACGGGGACTCCGGGATCTTCTGCATAGACAGAAGGCAGGGAGCTGGTCCCCGTGGCCGCTAGCATCGTTCCTCACCGTCCACTGCAGTGCTCCGAGGAGCGTGGAGGCCAAGAACAGACAGGAAGGTGGGGTTTTCCACCCAAGCTCCGCGGGCCACCCCACTTCTTGTCATTCTGCCCTCATGCTAACCTTCCCCTCACCTCCAATCCTGACTTCTTCCCCTTAGGAAGAAGAAAGCTGCTCCTTGTGTTGCTAAGCCCAGGATGCACACTGATTGGACGATATTCCAAGGCCAGGCTGGATCAGCGACAGCCAGGACTGAGCATCCACAGTTTCCGCTATCACAGCCTACACGGACTCCTGAGCCCCAGATCCCTCTTTGGTGTCTCACAAGGCATCTCAGACTTAACATAGGCAAACTAGACCTCGTCCTCAAACATCACAGCCATCCAGTCCATGCACTTACTCCAGCAAGAAACGTGAGGATCCTGGTTCCCTGTCCTGGCCAAGGACTTCCATCAGTCTCAAAAACACACCTAGACTCCATTCATTGCTGGTCCTTTGCCCACCCTCCCCCACCCCCGCCTCATCTCTTGCATGGTGATAGCACACTTATCTCTATTTCCGTTCTTGAAGCTAATTTACCTTGCTGTCCTGAGTTTGTTTTTATATACATATGTATGCATGGTGTGTGTGTGTGTGTGTGTGTGTGTGTGTGTGTGTGTGTGTGTATGAACAATCATGCATGTGCACCTGTGGATGTCTGAGGTTGACACCTGGAGTCTTCTATAGTTCTCCACCTTTGATGGACTTGCGTTCCTGTCTCTGAGTCTGTGCCTGTTTCTTTGGCTTCTGTTTGTCTGTTTGTTTTGTCCTATTCTGGTTTGTTCGTTTTATTGTATCATATTGCATTTTACTTTTTTTTAAAGATGGCTACTTGTTTTCTAATGAGAGAGAGAAAGAAAGGGTGTGGATTTGAGTGGGTGGGGAGGTTGGGGAGCATCAGGGAGGAGTTGGGGGAGGAGGAAAAACCTTGATAAAAATATAGTATATGAAAAAAATCTACTTTTAATCACCATATTCATTGACACCAGATGCTGACACAGCGGGTCTAGCTAGCTAGCTTGTTCTGGGAAGCCCCTGTGTACTTTGTGAGGAATACTGAAATTACAGGAGGGCCACCACGCCCACTCAAGTATTTATGTGGCCTCTCAAGACACAAACTCCAGTGCTCACACTGGTGAGGTAAGGGTTTTCTCCACTGGGCTATCTCCCCGGTCCCTAAAGATATTTATTTTTTTAAAGAAGGAACTTAGAACCAGCCATTTCCCAGCCTAAAGCCTTCCAGAGCATTCTCTCATCCTTTTAGAGCCCGGCTGCCCTCCTGTCTCTGCAGACACATGGACTTCCTAGATACTGTGTAACAGCGCTGGCTGTCCTGGAACTCACTCTGTAGACCAGTCTGGCCACAAACTCAGAGATCCGCCCACCTCTGTCTCCAAAGGCTTGAGCCACCACCACTTGGACTTTCAGACACTTCTGAGACAGGGCCTCTCATAGCCTGGGGTGGCCTTGAACTCTTGGTCCTCTTGTGTCCCACACCCAAACTTTGGGATTGAGTATGGGAATGTGCCAACATGTCCAGCTCCCCTTTCAGACTGAAATAAATGAGCTAGCTCTGACCAGCCAAAACTACCTTTCCTATTCCCTGGGTCTTCCTAGCCGCCCCTACCCTTTTACAGCTGCTTTCTTTAGCCCAGCTTAATCTGTGGCTCTCGGAGAGGCCAGAGAGACATCTGTCCCCTTTCACACCTCCTCGTACTCCACTCTACCCATTCCCAGCACTTCTGATCGCCTGACGTCATCTATTCTTTAGCTTTCCCAGCTCCCACTTCCACTATACTTCCACCAGGGAGGGACCACCCATGCCTTTGTGTCTTGGACAGTGGCTGGTACTTTTTATGCCTGTATCACTATTGGTTGTCAAAATGAGTGAAACACTTCACTATAGAATAAAAAAGACAAGAACAGCAGGCCTTCCATGTTTCCCACCCCTCAGGTCCAGCCAGGACACACACGCTGCCAGTCCCATAAGGTCCCAACAAAGCTAAGTACATTAAGATCCCTGGTACACACTTTTGGGGGCAGTTCTGACCAGAGACCATGGGAAGAGGGTCAATGGTGCAACACAGGGATAGTTCAGGACATGTCCCCTGACCGGAAAGTTCACACACACGCCTACTGACGTGGTAGTTAAAACCATGCTCGGAAAGAGGAGAAGGAGGAGGAAGAGGAGGAGAAGGACGAGGAGGAGGAGGAGGACAACTCCAGAGCTCCTCCTAAGACATTGAGCAAGAGGTGGCTTCAGGACACCATCACCATGTGGCTCCAGCTAATGATTGGCAGGCCCAGCCTGGAAAACTGCCCAGGTCTGCTTGGCTGAGAACACAGCACACAGCCTTAGCCTCGGCACAAAGGGAGGTAGATGGCAACAGTCCCAGAGAGCTTCCCCCAAGGTCCGGAAGGCTTGGGATGGCCGGTTCCTTTGACACACGCAGGAGTCCAAGAGTGGGCTAACGTAGAGGAAGACTGGGAGATGCCGAGATTCATGTCCCTGTGTTTTCTGTGACCCACCTACTGTGCGTCAGTCTTCCAGTGCTGAATCAGAGATGGGACTCACGGGGGGTTTGCCCTTGAATGAACCACACACCCAACAAAAAAGTCGAGGCACAGATCCAACGTCACGCTGAAAGAGGGACTCTGTACTTTGCCCAAGAGTCCCTCTAAAAAAGGAAAGTCCTCTATGATGGGTAGACAGTCTTCAAGTTAGACTCGGTGTGAAAACCTGCCTTAGTCCCTTCCATCATACCTTCCCTGCCATGAAGAACTGCATCTCCTCCAATGGTAAGGCAAATAAACCCTTCCTTCCTTAAACTGGTCTGGTCAGGCATTTGGTCACAGCAACAAAGTAAGCAACATATACACTGTCCCTATTTTATTTTATTATTACGTGTGCAGAGGTTGGAGTTGGGGTTTGCTGTGTGCAAATGTGAATGCAATGCCTACAGAGACTAGAGGAGAGCCCTGGAACCCCTGGATCTGGAGTAACAGGTGGTTGTGAGTCACTGGATATGAATGCTGGGAACCAAACTTAGGTCCTCTAGGAGAATAATGTGTGCTCTTAACCACTGAACCATCCCTCCAGCCCTAGGTTCCCTATTTTAGACATGCATTTGATTGACTCAACATCTGGTCCACACAGGCAACTGTTCTAGGAACACAGTGCATGTAGGCAGGGGCTGGCCTCTGGAAGATGGCCTGAACACCTACGGGGGGTGAGGTAGCTCCCCACAAAGACTCTTCATAAGAAAGAGTGCCTGCCCAGCACCCAGTGAATGGTAAGGGTGAGTTCAGACTTAGGTGCTATGGTAGTTTGAATGTAACTGGACCCCATAAGCTCATAGGGAGTGGCACTATTAGGAGGTGTGGCCTTGCTGGAGGAAGTGTGGGGGTGGGCTTTGAAGTCTTCTATGCTCAAGCTCACACCCAGTGTCTTAGTTCACTTCCTGGTTGCCTGCTGATCGAGATGTAGAACGCTCAGCTCCTTCTCCAGCACCGTGTCTGCCTGCACACTGCCTGGCTTCCCACCATGATGATAATGGACTAAACCTTTGAAACCGTAAGCCAGCCCCAATTAAATGGTTTCCTTGATAAGCATTGCTGTGGTCACGGTGCCTCTTCATAGCAATAGAAACCCTAATAAGACAGGTGCAACTAGTAGGTCTGCAAATGCCTCCCTTCTGACAGTTCTGACTGTGCATAGCACTCACAAGCAGCATCTACATCCAAACCCAGAACCCAATGTGGGCTTGCCTCACTTGGTGAGGGCACTTACCGTGGTGAGGCTCAGGGGGGGACACTTCCACTTCTGTGTACTCCACGTCCATGCTCTGGGAGTCTGTTCAAAGGAACCACAGCACCTTGAGTCTAGACTGCATCTCCTCTAGAGGTATCAAAGCACACTAGAGACCTTCATTGCAGTTAGCCCCACACTGGTCCAGGCAGCAGACACCACAGCCTTTCTGACTTCCCGTTACCTGAGTGTGGATGGAGCCTCTACCAGGTTTCTATAATGTGGGAAGACTTTCAACAGGTTAATGGGTGTGGCAAACAGCCCAGGACATACCCCCACAGTTAACTCCTACCAATCTCAGGGCATGGGAAAGGATCTAAGTGCTGTGGGACCAGGCTCACCAGCATCTGAGTGTTCTAAGGAGCTGATGCATTCCAGGTAATGAAATCCCCGGGCTCCGTGGAGACACCCATGAAATGATTTTGTTTTCAACCCAGGCTATTGCTGTCACTGTTGTATGTGTCTGGTACCCATGGAAACCAGAAGAGGGTGTGAGATCCTCTGGGACTAGAGTTACTGTATGGGAGCTGCAGCTGGGTCCTCTGACAGAGCAGCCAGTGCTCTCACCATGAGCTGTCTCTCCAGCCCCTGATGGTGTTTCTTGAGACAGGGCCAGGTGTATTCCAGGGCAGCCTGGGACTTGCTAGGTAGCCAAGGTTAGCCTTGAATACCTGGTCTTGCTGCCCCAGCCTCCTGAGTGCCAGGATTACAGGTGTAAGCCGTGCCTGGAGTTGTTGTTTTTAAAGCCCCATAGAACGAGGAGTTCTTTCTAGCAGCTAAAGCCCAATTGTGTAGCCAAAGGGACTCCTCGGAAGCAGGTCAGGAGTTTCAGTTCTCAGGAGAGGAGCATGGAATAGAAAACACCTTTTTTGTTTGTTTGTTTGTTTTTTGGAGGCTGTCCTGGAACTCACTCTGTAGACCAGACTGGCCTCGAACTCACAGAGATCTGCCTGCCTCTGCCTCCTGAGTGCTGGGACTAAAGGCATGCGCCCCCAACGCCCAGCTTAGAAAACACCTTTTTTTTTTTTTTTTGGTTTTTTTGAGACAGGGTTTCTCTGTATTGCTTTGGAAGCTGTCCTGGACCTCGCTCTGTAGACCAGGCTGGCCTCGAACTCACAGAGATCCACCTGCCTCTGCCTCCCGAGCTCTGGGATTAAAGGCATGTGCCACCACTGTCCGGCTTTAGAAAACACCTTTAAGAAACGATTTAAGCCAGCTCCTCTAAGTTTGAGGCAGAAGCAAACTGTCTATTGCTAGTTGTCTTTAAAAAAAAAATACAGCTGAGGAACCAGCATAGGACCCAACCAGGCTCCCCAAACGTGGGTGTCAGTGGGGGGCTTGGGCAGTCTATGGGGCCTCTGGCAGTGGAACCAAGATGTATCCCTAGTGCATGAATGGGCTTTGGGGGCCCATTCCCTATGGAAGGATACTCTCTCAGTCTAGACACATGGGGGGGGGGCTAGGTCCTGCCCCAAATGATGTGACAGACTTTCTCAAGGGAGGCCTCACCCTCTCTGAGGAGTGGATGGGGGATGGGATGGGGGGTTGGTTGGGAGAATGGGAAGAAGGGAGGGAGAGGGACCTGGGATTGGTATGTAAAATAAGATTGTTTTTAATTTAAATAAAAATTATTTTTTTTTTGGTTTTTTTCGAGACAGTGGCTTTGGAGGCTGTCCTGGAACTCCCTTGGCAGTCCAGGCTGGTCTCTAACTCACAGAGATCCGCCTGCCTCTGCCCTCCCCCCCCCCCCCAGTGCTGGGATTAAAGGCGTGCGCCACCAACGCCCGGCTAAAAATTAATTTTAAAAAATCGTAAAGATCTCAGCCACCAGAGGGAAACATCCTCCTTGGTCGCTCTGAGTACCAGGAAGGTTTTTGTTTTGTTTTGTGTCAGGTATGATAGCTCATTTCTACTTGAGTTAGGAGGCACAACCATTCAGAGCTCTGGCTGGCCTCCTTGGAGAAAACCCTGGGTCTGTACTGTATCATACACAGGGCCTCTAAGAGGGGTGGGAAACTACCCAGCCACCTCAGAGTTAAAGTTGCCTTTTCCTACGGGTACCCATTTACCTATTTTTAAAGGCAGAGTCTTACTACTCACTGTGTATACCTGGTTGACTTTGACCCCCACAAAGACTCACTTGCCTCTGTTTCCTGAGTGCTGGGATTAAAAGCATACACCACCAAGCACAGTCACTTGTGAATCTTTTTTTTTAACGTAAAAGTTTCTAATAAAACATTTAAAGAATCACCTTTATTTTGATTTACTGGTTTCACTGTGTCGTTTCCAGCATCATCATAACCTAGTTGAAAATAACAATCACAGTGAGTGACAGTGGAAATTAGTTTCCTGTATCCTCGAGCGCACACGTGTGTGTGTGTGTGTGTGTGTGTGTGTGTGTACACATGTAGGTGAGCAAGCACCTTGTCGCTCTTCCCCACCTATGTGTGCTTGGAGGCTGGAGGTTGATGTCGCATGTTGGAAATTAAAGGCATGCACCATCACTGCCCAGCTGACATGGGGCACTGTTGTTTGAGAGTTATTTTGGAAGTCAGAATGGTTTGTTGGAAGTGAATCAATTAAAAAATTAAGCTTCTTTCTAGAAGGGACCAGTCACTAACAACAAACACTCACTATCAGCAAACATGAAAGCTGATGCTTAACATACACTCTCCAGGCCGGGCGTTGGTGGCACACTCCTTTAATCCCAGCACTCGGGAGGCAGAGGCAGGCGGATCTCTGTGAGTTCGAGACCAGCCTGGACTACCAAGCGAGTTCCAGGACAACCTCCAAAGCCATAGAGAAACCCTGTCTCGAAAAACCCCCCCCCAAAAAACAAAAAAAACAAAAAACAAAAAACAAAAAAAAAAAAACATATACTCTCCAGTTAGGGGATTGGGTTGACCAGAATATGACTTGAAGAAACAATAGCATCTCTAAATTACCACCTCAGTGGGCACAGACAAAGTGTGGGGCTTGCTCGGTAGTAATGCTCTTGTCTGGACTGTGTGAAGCTTTGGCTCATGCCCAGCACTGTAAAAACAAGCAAGCAAACAAACAAACATTTTAGCGTGTTCTTCGCTTAAAAAAATTATATGGGGCTGGAGAAATGACTCAGAGGTTAAGAGCACTGACTGTTCTTCCAGAGGACTGGGGATCAATTCCCAGCACCTGCATGGCAGCTCACAACTGTCTGTAACTCCAGTTCCAAATGATCTGACTCCGTCACACAGACATATGTAAAGGCAAAAACACCAATGCATATAAAACAAAAACAAATATAATTATTAAAAAATTCTTATAAATACTATTCTTCAAGAGCACATACTTTTCCAAGCTGTGTTTGAGCTAATTAGTATTATCATTATTTAAATAGTTGTTTGGGGTTTTTTTTATGGCCTGTTTTTTGAGACAAGGTCTTGAAGTGTAGCCCAAAGTGGTTTGGAACTCACTGTATAGAACAAGATGGCCTCCAGTTTGTAGTGAGCCCCCTGCATCTGCCTTGTGAATACCGGCATGTTAGGCATGAGCTGCCATTCTGGGATCTCAGTGACTTCCTCACAGACCCAAGGGCACTGAGGCCCACTGAGGCAGCCTCACTCCAATGAGGTCTACATTAGAATTACATCTCACACACCTTTAATCCTGGCACTCAGGAGGCGGATCTCTGTGAGTTCAAGGACAGCATGGTCTACAGAGTGAGTTCCAGGACATCCAGGGCTGTTACATAGAGAAACCCTGTCTCAGGGGTGGGGTGGGGTAGGATATTTCAGTACTTCTCAAAAATGTGTCTGCTAAGAGCAGAATGTTTCCACTGGTTTCCCTTTGTGGCAAAGTTTAGTGAAGTGATGGAAATCCCATCAGAGATGTGTTAATGACAATTTCATTTGACAGCTGGTTCCTGCCTCACAAGAATTAGTCCAGGGCAATTTCAGTCTTTGGGGGCATTTTTCATTCCAAAGAAACGAAGCATAGAGGGGTGAAAACAGGACTATCCTTTTCAGTCTGAGTTTTGTTAGCTTATCTTCCAATGGCGGATAAGCTAGGTGCCACTACTTAAAGCCAGGGTTTCCCTTCTGCCCCCACCCACTCAGAGTTGGTAAAAGTCTTTGTAGTAACAGGAAGCCTTGGCTTTACCATAATGACTGTTGGTTTCCACATTGGGCTCAGAAACCTTCTCATTGTTGGAATTCAGAAGTGGAGCTGCCGGCCTTCACATGGAAATCAAAAAGAAAAGAGAAAAATCGATATTAACATTTTTCACTGTACCCCCAAACCAACAAAACCATCAAAGGAAGATCAAGAGAAAGCAAGGAGAAATATGCCCATCACACGCTGGTAATCTCAGCACTGGGGCGGCTGAGGCAGGAGGATGGGCGGGAGTTTGAGGCTAGTGCCTATAATCCTAGCCCTTGGGAGGCAGAGGCAAGAGGATCAGGAATTTAAGGCCAGTCTAGACTATGTGAGATCATGTTTAAAAATAAAAACCAAAGGTAAAGAGTATAAAAGTATTTAAAATTTTTTTATTATGTTTAGGGTGTGTGTGTGTGTGTGTGTGTGTGTGTGTGTGTGTGTGTGTGTGTATGTGTGTACATGGTGTGTGGTACCTGCAGAGGCTAAGCCATCTCTCCAGCATGGTAAAAATATTTCTTTTTAAAAAGGCCAACTCTTGGGGAGGGGAGGTTGGCACACACCTTTAATTCAGAGGCAGAGGAAAGTGGATCTCTATGAGTTCCAGGCTATCCTGGTCTATTGAGTGAGTTTTAAGACAGCCAAGGCTACACAGAGAATAGAGAAACCCTGTCTCAAAAAAAAGTAAAAATAAAAAAGCCAGCTCTATTATTCTAAGTATGTACAGTAGGCAATCTTCCACTATGACAGAAACACACACACACACACACACACACACACACACACACACACACACACACGGCCCTTATTCTTTATGAGTTTGCCAAGAATCTCCAACAATTTCCTAATGACCAGACTGTGCCTGCAGACAAACCCAGGCATGCCCCTAAAGCAGCCACCACCCCTCTTATAAGGACACTGACCTGGACATCTCCACGGGTTTCTGTTTGGCTTTAAAGAAAAAGAAAGAAAAATTCAGGTCAGTGTAAGTATGCTGACTCTCCTCAAGACTGACTACCCATAAACATTAAGGGGAAAGAGGAAACTGGGGGTGTGGCTCATTGGGTAGAGTGTTTGCCTGGCATGCACAGAGTGGTGGGCTCAGTAACCAGCACCACAGAAACTGGATGCTTGCCAGTGATCCCAGCATCCCAGAAGCGGAGACCAAGGATCTGAGGTTCAGGGGCATCCTCAGCTCAGTTGAGGCTAGCCTAAGGTAAGGGTGCGGAGAGGCTGGGGGTGAGAAAATGTGTCAGGTGAAATAACACACATTTACAATGAGCAGAAAAGAAGGGAAAGTGGGGACCCCTCGATACTTTCCTTGCTTATGTTCATACAGCTGAGGCTCCGTGTCAGGGCTGCAAACACACTGAGAACATGCCACCAGCACAGAGCTACACCCCCTCCCCTTCTCTTGGCTTACAGCAAGAGACTTTACGTAGTTTTTTCATACATATATATATTACATAATTTTAGCCAGAAGCAATTTTAGTTCATAGTATGTGACTAAGACCAGGTACGGGACTCAGATTCCCTGAGAAGCAGGCACTATCTCTTTGATTCAAGATGATTGCCAAAAGCAAAGCGTAAGCCAATTCCTGTGCTTTCGGGTCCAAGCTGGCCTAAAACCAAAGTCGGGGTTAAACTTGGGAAGAAGCTTCCTTGAGGTCTGTCTGTTCCTAAAGGAGCTGCAATTTTCCTCCCTCAGAAAAGACCAAAGACCCCCTCCCCTTCCCATCTGCTCTCCCAGCCCAGACAGCAGCACCAGAGGCTCCTGAGAGTCCATCCATCCATCATTCTGTTCCCTGTCCCCTACTGGTACCCTGTGTCACATTCCTTGTGCCTGGGCTAGACCCGATCCCCAAGTGCCAGCTGGTGCGCCTAGCTTCCACTCACGTGCATGGTAGAAGATCACGGCACAACTGGAAGACTATCTGGGAGGTACACGGTGTGAGCGTGCATACCACGGCTGCAGCCAGTTTTCTGGCAAGAACCACCCGTGGATGGGTGCTCACCTTTGGCTTTCCTCAGGAAGTAGCATTTGGCGGCAACTATCAACATGGCGATGATCACTCCAATGACAACCACCGCAATGAGCCCTTTCTTCCACGGAGCAAGAAAGACTGGAAGTGGGGGAGTAAAAAGGAAACGCATGTTTTTTCTCCTGCCAGCAGATTTAAGCAGCTACTCAGACCCATTTTTTGCAAGTCTTGTAAATAGCATCTCGCTTTGGCGTTTGTCTGCGAGGGCTTCTGCCTTCCTTCAGCTCGTGCAGAGATGGTGGTTTCTGCTAACAGTCAAGGTGGCTATAAGAGCTACCAAGCCAATTTTGCTGAGATGTTGCTCCTTTTGGGGTGTCCCTTCCACTCTCTTCTATCTCTACATAACTTGCCCTGTCAAGCACACAGCTAGGCTCTTATAAACATATCTGTGTTTGGACATAGCTGGTTCATGGATGGACATCTCATGTCTTTCTGTCAGGTACTTGGAATTGAGACTGGATAAAATATTTTCAGTCCCTTATAGCTAATCATCTCCTTTTCCGCTGCCAACTGTAACTGATCAGACATTGCTCTCCCCCACCACCTCCCGAGACAGGGTTTCTCTGTGTAACAGTTCTGGCTGTCGTCCTAGAACTCGATTTGTAGACTAGGCTGGCCTCAGGCTCACTGAGATTTACCTGCTCTTGCTTCCAGAATGCTGCTGGAATTCAAGGCATGTGCCATCACGCCTCTGGTCTCTTAGCCTTCACTCAAATGAACTAGTCTCCATTCCTCTTCCTCTTACACAGAGTTTGTGCGCTTTCCTCCCCTTGGAGGCCCCCATACACACCTCACTGGCGAGGCTGGACTCACCTCTGACCGTTAGAGTGCTGCTTCGGGGACTGCTTAGAAGGCTGGCTCTGTTGGAGGCTGTGCAATAGTACTGTCCCTCCTGCTTCTTGCTGGCTTGTTTCTCAATCCAAAACGCTTGGGTGTCATTCAGGACGGTTTCGTGGAAGGGTCTGCCATCGTTTTCTTTGTAAAACTTGAACGTGATTGGGCCAGTCCCCTCTTTCACAGAGCATCGAAGTACTATTTCATCCCCAGACCGAACCTCGTTACTTGACAAGATAGAAATCATGACATCGTCCACCGGGGCTGGAAAGCAGGCAAAGGATCAGTCCTGAGCAGAGAAGGGCAGAGGCAAGTGTGGGGTGCACACCCCTGGTCCCAGCACTTAGGAGATGGGAACAGAGGATCTCATGTTCTAGGCCAGAAGGCAACATAGAGACATAGAAAGCCCTGTCACAAAGAAGCCAGGAGGGAGAGGAAGGGAAATGAACAGAGAAGGAACATAGAAAAGCCACCTCTTGTTAACTTTTCTCTTAGCCTAGGAATTGAATCCTCTGCTCCCCAGTTCCACATGGTCCCTTCCCTGATTAACCCAGAAGACAGTAACAGATAACTCCTGTCCCCAGCTATTGACAAAAGACTGGTGCTGTGGGACAATCTTTTTGTGCACTGTGAATATCAGTTACTCTCACTGGTTTAATAAAGAGCTGACTGGCCAATAGCTAGGCTGGAAAAGGTTGGGCAGGACTTGTGGACCAAAAGAGAGCACAGGGAAGAAGGAAGGTGAAATCGCCAGTGAGATGGGGTGAGACATAGAAAAAAGTAAAACAGCTGGGTGTTGGTGGCGCACGCCTTTAATCCCAGCACTCGAGAGGCAGAGGCTGGCGGATCTCTGTGAGTTCGAGGCCAGCCTGGTCTACAGAGAGAGTTCCAGGACAGCCTCCAAAACAATACAGAGAAACCCTGTCTTGAAAAACCAAAAAAAGAAAGAAGCAAGATGAGCATACCATGCTGACAAAAGGTATCACCATGCAGTAGAGCATAGATAAGAAACATGGGTGGATTTAAGTTGTAAGAGCTAGTTAGTAACAAGCTTAAGCTATTGGTTAAGCATTTATAATTAACGATAAGTCTCTGTGTGGTTGTTGGGGAGCTGGAGGTCCTGATGAAACACTGCCTACACACTAGGGACATTCCCCATCCTCCCACCTCATGCATGACTGGCCACGAAGCAGCACTACAAGATTAACTTGTGTTTTCTCTTAGAGACATGAGTGTGTGCATGCATGTGCTGTGCGTATGTTTGAATGAATTCTCCCTGCCTTTCTGCTTACAAAGATGTGTGGCACTCACCCTCTCTCTTTGCTTTCACAGCCTCATTTCCCATTTCCTTGCTATCCCTGAAGTTTGCCTTCCACCCATCTGGCTTTGCCATTGTTGTTTGTTATTGCCATTGTTTCTGGTGTTTTGGTTTTTGTTCGTTTTTTTGGGGGGGGGGTTTCAAGACAGGGTTTCTCTGTGGCTTTGGAAGCTGTCCTGGAACTAGCTCTTGTAGACCAGGCTGGCCTCGAACTCACAGAGATCCGCCTGCCTCTGCCTCCCGAGTGCTGGGATTAAAGGCGTGTGCCACCAACGCCTGGCTGCTTGTTCCTTTTTTAAGACAGAGTTTCTCTGTGTAGCTCTTGAACTAGTTCTGTAGACCAGACTGGCCTTGAGCTCACAGAGAACCATCTGCCTCTGTCAAGTGCTGGGACTAAATGTGCGCACCATCACCACCTAGCTGTTTCTGTTTTATTTAATTTGTTCATTTATTTATTTGAGATAAGGTCTCACTATGTAGCTATGGCTGGCCTCAAACTCACTGTGTAGACCAGGCTGGCCTCGAACTCAGAGATCTGCCTCTACCTCCTAAGTCCTGAAATTAAACGTGTACACTACCACGCTCTGTCTTTATTTTATTTTATTTTTAAGACAGGGTCTCATGTAGCTGTCTATGAACTCCAGATCTTCCTGTGTCAGATTACAGGTGTGTGCCACCAGCCCCAGACATCCATTTGCTTTTGAAACTGCATTATCTCTAGTCTCAAAGAAACTGGAAATGCCACTTGGCCCTGAGTTCAGGGCCCAGCAGAGTAAGTTCAATGGAGAAGGTCATTCTTTCCTCATGCAGTTTCCTGGTTTTAGTCTCCTACAGCCAGACTGTCACCAGTTCCTCCTGTTGACATGGCTTCCCCAGTTGTGCTGTCTCCAAAGCTAACTCTCCTCTCTTACTGACTCCTTTACGACTTGTTTTGACAGTGAAATACGGACTTTCTGGAAAGTTGGCCCTCAGTCTTCCAACTCCACTCTTTTTTAAAAAATAACATTTTGACCTATTTGTTCTGTGCACAGGTGTGTGTGGAAGTCGGAGAACAATTAGTGAGACTCTTTCCTTCGACCACGTGGGGTCCTGGGGATAGAACTCATGCCATCGGGCTGGGCGGGCACCTCTACCTGCTGAGTCATCTCGCCAGCCTCTCCGCACTCAGCTTTTATTTCTGAGCACTGAAACCCAAACTGAAGCTTCCTGTCCAGACAGCTTCCCGGAACCCTGAGGCTCCCTTCTCACCTGGAGACTTAGAGAGTCAGATGCGCTGTGGCTCCCCCCCCACTCCCCTCCCGTCCTCCCCCCCCACCTCCCCCCCTCCTTCCCACCCCGCTGTGCCCCTTTCCTCAGCAGCATTTAACCATTCAGATTTCAGACCACCTTCCCTACTAGTGACAGTGGACTGGCCAACAGACATGAGTCACCTCTCAGCACAAAGGGTGGTGAGATCTGAAGGAAGCTAAGCATTGGGGCCTGAGATGGCTGTGGTCCCACACAGTGACAGCCTGCGCACATTGCCACTGGGAAGAAGGGATTAGTGGTGAATTGGTCTCAAGAGCCAGACTGCCTGGGCTCAAATCCCAAGCCTGGAACCCACGGTGTATATGTCCTAAGTCTTAGCGACTTTCTTGCAAACCCGAGGGTAAGCTATGATGAGTCTCATGTGCTATTCTGAGTATTACTAGAGATAATTTGCTACAGTGCTTCTTCACCCAGGCCTGGACACATGAGGAGGGCTCAGCAAACGCTAGCCACTAATACAGACCCAGTTTAAACTCATGGCTTCCCCAAGGGTGTTTACACTGACTTCTTAACATCTGGAGGTCGGGAGTCTCCACTCCTCAATACCAGCCAAATGCACAGCAACCAGGTTCCCCAAACCCTCTCTTATTGCACCCTCTTCCCTCTCTTGCCCACTGAGACTTGGGTCTTATGTATCCCAAGCTGGCCTTCATCTCACTCCGTAGCTAAGGATAACCTTGAATTACTGATCCCTCTGCCTCTACCTGGAAGAACTGCGATTCTCACCCATTGCCCCTACCCTGTGGACAAGTCTTGCCCACACCAGCACATGTAGACTGTATGCTTTTATATGCTGTGTGTTGATGACACAAGAGTTTGTTAAACAAAAGATGACAAATGACAAGAGGAGGAAGGCAGGTTAAGTGTCCATCAGAGGATTCAGAGCAAGGTAAGCAGTGGTACTGCAAAGACCACTCAAAGGCACAGGTCAAACGCTGAGGGAGAGCTATCTGATCCCAGGACCAAGGTGGGCATCCCAGGTCTGCAACTCTGCCTGCCGAAAGTTTCCTTGTGTGGCCCAGATGTTCCACCAAGGTCAACGGCAGAAGAGAGTTCTGGCCTGCAGCTCTTGGGGGTGGCTCTCAAGTCACCTGAAAAGGTGCAAAAACCAAGAAACCCCAAATACATAATGTCAGCAGTTCCTTAAGTCCAGCCACCTCCCCCTTTCAGGGGATTCAAAGGTCCCCTGAAAGATCAAAAGGAATTACAATGCCATGCCAAGAGACCCCGGTTTTTCTCAGACCCATTTGCTGGGGCTTAGCTCTGCTTTGGCTGTGTGGGATGCACAGGTACCATTCCTGTTATACCCACAACTACTAATTGACACCAAACCTTCCAGCCCATCAAAGCCTCACTCTTCTCACCTCTCACAGCACATCGGCATCGGCTTACCTATCACCTTGACCTGCAGGATCTCGCTGTGCAGCTCGGGGTGGGAATGGCAATTACTCGCTAAGCACTGGTAGTCCACGTCTGCAGTGGGCTTATCTGTGAATGTCACTGGGTCATTGGAGCTCGTCTGGAGATCCAGGAAGACACTTGTGCCTTTTATGAGGGTGTAAGTGACAGGTGTAGTTCCATTTACAGACTGGCAGCTGATGGTTATAGCATGTCCTTTTATGACCTCAGCCTTGGCGTCATGAAATATCCTAGGCTTAGACAGCATTTCTAGAACAACAGAGAAAAACAATCCAAATAAAACAGAAACAACAACCCAAATTCTGGGCTTGGCTTTCTCCATCGAGATCACGATTTCAAATACCTGTCTACCTGTCTGATTTATCTTTAAGGGTCCCCTACAAGGTTGCCAGGCAATGCCTGTCTACGTGTGTGCATTTGGTAACAAGGGAGAAAATGAACTGTGGCACATATAGCCCAGTGGTAGAACATTTACCTGGATTGTGTAAGGTCTCAAGTTCAATTCCCAGCACGAGGGCAGTATAAGCAAAATGATAATAATATAATAGCTGGGTATGGTGGAACACACCTGCAATTCCACACCTGGGAGGGCAGGCAGGGAGATTGCAAGTTCGAGGCTAGCCAGGGCTACTTAGTATAACCCTGTCCTGTCTCAGAGGAGAAGGGGAAGAAGAAGTGGGGGGAATGAGGAGAAAGGAAGAGGAGGAAGTAAAAAGGGACTGGAGGTGGGGAGGTGGGAGAACAAGTGTGTGTGTGAGAGTGTGTGTGAGTGTGTGAGAGTGTGTGAGAGTGTGTGAGTGTGAGTGTGTGTGTGAGCGTGTGAGTGTGTGAGAGTGTGTGAGTGTATGAGTGTGAGACTGTGAGAGTGTGTGAGTGTGAGAGTATGAGAGTGTGTGAGAGAGTATGTGTGTGAGTGTGAGAGTGTGTGAGAGTGTGAGAGTGTGTGGGTGTGTGAGAGAGTGTGTATGTGTGAGAGTGAGAGTGTGAGAGTGTGTGAGTGTGAGAGTGTGTGAGTATGTGAGAGAGTGTGTGTGAGAGTGTGTGTCAGTGTGATCGTGTGTGTGAGTGTGAGAGTGTGTGAGTGTGAGAGTGTGTGTGAGTGTGTAGGTGTGAGAGTGTGAGTGTGAGTGTGTGAGAGAGTGTGTATGTGTGAGCGTGTGTGTGTGAGTGTGAGAGTGTGAGAGTGTGTGAGTGTGTGTGAGTGTGAGAGAGTATGTGTGTGAGTGTGTGAGAGTGTGTGTGAGAGTGTGTGAGTGTGAGAGTGTGTGAGCGTGAGTGTGTGAGTGTGTGAGAGTGTGTATGTGTGAGAGTGTGTGTGAGTGTGAGAGTGTGTGAGTGTGTGAGAGAGTTGTGTGAGAGTGTGTGTGTGAGAGTGTGTGTGAGTGAGTGTGTGTGTGCACAAATACACATACAAAATGAACATGGAGGTCAGAGGACAATTCGTAGGAGTTGTTTCTCTGCTTCTACCATGTGGGTCACAGGGACTGAACTCAGGTCGTCAGGTTTGGCAGCAAGCACCTTTACCCAATAAGCCATTTTGCTGGTCCTTCCCGGAGTTCTCAACCTGCCTGAATCTGGTCAGCCTTTGAGACCACACTGGGAACGGCTGGCCACCCTCTCCTTGCTCCTACTTGGCCACTGTGTATGTGAGGCGCTGGGAACATACTCACCGCACACCTTTATGGGTACCGGGTCACTCCTCTTGACCACTCTGCCGATGCCTGCGGTACAGCTGTACACCCCACTGTCCCTGTGCTCAGCAATCTTGCTGAAGTTCTGATCCTGAGACAAGATCACCTTTTCCTTCTGGATGGTGAAGTTGGCTGTAGGTATGCCCGGGACAGAGCAAAACAGATCCAAAATTTTCCCTTGGTCCAGCTGCCTGGAGGAGAATTCCAACTTCGGCTTGGGAAACAGCTCTGAAGAACATTAAGTGGGAAGAAGGGAGATGTGGTTACGACCTTAATCCACTGCCTGGAGATGCTGGTGGTCCAGCTACTTTCAGCAGAATCAACTCCTACCAGCCCTCTTGTCACATACCTGATGGGCACGGTTTTCAAGAGTCAGAACTCACTCCGAATCTTAGATCTCACTGCAAACTCTTCTTGCCCTTCAGTCTACAAGGATTCACTCGTCCGTTTTCTCATCTATTTATTGAAACAGGGTCTCAAGTAGCCTAGGTTGGGTTTGAACTAAGTAGCCAAGGATGACCTTGAACACCTGATCCTACTATCTCTGCCTCCCAGGTGTTGGGAATACAGGTGTGCACCACCATGCCTGGCTTCCACAAGTATTGACTGTAAGGAAGACCCTTTGCTGGACATTGGGGAGATAACAGTGCCCACAAGACAGTCCAACTTCAAAGGACTCCTACTTAATGCTCAGTTCAGGAATAGAGTTAGCAGAAGAGCCCACAGAGAGGAAGCTGAACTTCACCATGGGGGAATTAAGGAACCAGTCCTGAAAGGAAGTTTTCCTAGGTGGTTGACTAGACAGAAAGTATATTAGATAGCATTTGGAAGTTCACTATGGCTGGAAGAAACTGTCGTAACTGGCCTGTTTGTATCTGAAGTCCTCAAAGGCAAAGCCTGCTAGCTCTCCATTCTTTTTTTTTAAAGATATTTATTTATTTATTTGTCTATCTGTTTATTTATTTATTTGATGTGCACTGGTGTTTTGCCTGTATATACTCTGTGTGAAGGTGTTGGATGCCCTGGAACTGGAGTTACAGATGGTTGTGAGCTGCCATGTTGGTGCTGGGAATTGAACCCAGGTCCTCTGGAAGAACAGCTAGTGCTTGCTCTTGACCCCTGAGCCATCTCTCTACCCTAGCTCTCCATTTTTTTTTCTTTTCTTCAAGACAGGGTTTCTCTATATTGTATCGGAGCCTGTCCTGGAACTCTCTCTGTAGACCAGGCTGGCCTCGAACTCACAGAGATCCGCCTGCCTCTGCATTCCGAGTGCTGGGATAATAGAGTGCGCCACCAACACCCGGCCTCCTAGGTCTCCATTCTTAATAACCAGCCCAGCATATATAATGTGTCCAGTATATGTGATTAATTGATAGTTTTTCTTCTCTAGAAAAGAATGTATATCTTATCAAGAGCACTCCAACATCCATCATTATCAATAATCACTGGGCCTTTGAACCTCACTCAGGGGCAGAAGAAGGCAGATCTCTGTGTGTTCTAGATCAGCCTGGTCTACATAGGGAATTCCAGGGCTACATGGTGGGAATGTCTCAAAAATAAATAAATAATAAATAAATAGCTCACCAAGTTGCTAGCACATGACATCACACCCTCCAGCAGGAGGATCCACTATAGTGTGGTAATCCCTCAATTGGCCAGTTGACAACCTGCCTACCTTTTAAGACTTGGGGGACCATGGCTGTGACTGTGTGCTCAGCGCTTGACCCTTAGGGGTTTGGAGGAAGTTATTGAATGAATGGGCGAACTCCTGTATAAATGAACACTTTCAATGGAGAACTAAGAAGGCTGACCTTGTCCCTGAAAACACAAGGCTCAGCCCAGTCCTCCATCTAACCATAGTGCTATGTTCTTGTCGGACTGGGAGTTAAGGATCTAGCACTGAGCACAAGAGTGAAGGTCCCCACCCTCAGCAGCTAACATTCTAGTGGCCGAGTACACACAGCCATCAGGATAAGCACGGGATATATCTAGGGTAAGTATTTCAGAGAAATAAAGCTGGGTACAGGGGCAAGGAGTCTGAGAGAACTTTAAAATGCATTGGGTTGGCAAAATAAACAGGCCCGGGGAGTATCTCTTGTTCTGCCACTTAGGCGACTTTGTAAGGCTAGTTGCTAACATTCCAATCTAAGTTTCCGTATCATAAAATGTGTCTCATGACACCTAGGATTGAGACGAGCATGAACTAAAAACACATATAAACCCATCCCGTGACATTCAACAGTGGGAGACTGTTACTGTTGGTTTTCTAATAAACTGTGCTGCTGGGCGTGGCGGTGTGTGACTGGAATCCTAGTACTTTAGGCAGTGGAGGCAGAAGGATCAGGAGTTCAATGCCAAAGTCTACTGCATGGTAGATTCAAGGCCAGCCTCAGCTATATGAGATGCTGTCTTTAAGAAGCGGGGGAAAGTGGAGAGATAGCTCGGGGGTGAACACTTACTGCTCTTGCAGACCTGGACTTGATTGCTAGCACCCTTTATCAGGCAGCGCACAGCCACCTGCAACTCCAGGACTAAGAGCTCAGCATCACCTGAACACACAGCACACATAAATACACACAGACACGCATAAATTCTTTTTTTCAAAATCTGTTTGTTGTTCGTTTTTTTTTTTTTTTTTTTTTTTTGAGACAGGGTCTCACTATGTAGTCCTAGGTGTCCTGGAAGTCATTTTGTAGACCAGGCTCACCTCAACCCCAAAAACATCTACTTGCCTCTGCCTCCCAAGTGCTGGGATTAAAAGTGTGTGCCATCACGTCCATTAAAAATCTTTTAGAAGCCGAGCGGTGGTGGTGCATGCCTTTAATCCCAGCACTCGGGAGGCAGAGGCAGGCAGATCGCTGTGAGTTCGAGGCCAGCCTGGTCTACAGATCGAGTTCCAGGACAGCCTCCAAAACAATACAGAGAAACCCTGTCTCGAAAAACAAAAACAAAAAAAAATCTTTTAGAAAAGGGTTTGGGCTGGAATGTGGGCTCAACATTTAAGAGCACTGCCTACGCTTACGGAGGTTCCAGGTTTGATTCCCAGCACCCACATGGTGACTCACAACTGTAACTCCGGTTCTAAGATGGCCTACACACCCTCTTCTGGCTTTCATGGGTACCAAGCATATAAGCAGAGCACAGATCTACATGTAGGCGAAACATCCATACACAAAATAAAATAAAAGATTTAAAAAGATCATGAAGAATACAGAGAAACCCTGTCTCGAAAAACCAAAAACAAAACAAAAATAAAAAGATCATAAAGATGAGTTTGGCAGAGAAGAAAGATATAAACCTATAGAGATATTAGCTAACACGAATTAAACACAGACCTAGTTGTCTTATTTAAACATTGTGATAGTACTATAAGATAATCACCATCTCATCCCATTGTATCTCACATGGTTGAGGCAAGTTCAAGGGTTTGGCACAGAAGTGTTGAGCATCATGGTTGGGTCAATGCCAGCACCTGAACACTCAGCCAACACAGCCAACTGCTGTATGTTGCCTCTTTCCCATGAGCCCCAACGCCCAGCCTAAACACACCCATTGCCACCTTGGATTGCAGTACAGGGTCCTACTAGATATCCCAGGTTAGCCTCGAGCTCATGCTCCTCCTGCCTCGGCCTCCCACATGCTGGCATTATAGACATGTGGAACTACAGCCAGCCACAGCTGCCCCTTGATCCCACCACTTTCCTGCCTTCTCCCTCAGCGTCCCTACCTGTTATGTTGACCACGATGCTGCTGACCTTGGAGATGCGGCTAGATTCTACTTTGCAGGTATAATGGCCACTATTCTCCATCATGGCCATGACTGAGTAGACAGCTGCATTGTTCCGTTTGGAGGTGGCCACAATAGCCTTGTCCTTTTGGATTATAATTTCTGGAAATTCCCGGACTAAGTGTGTCACTTGAACTGTGCACTTAATGTCGAGCTGGTCTCCTTCTATGATCACTCCAGAAGGCTTTATTTGAAACTTGGGAGTAGCGAAGGACTCTACAAGTAAGTAGACAATAAGCCAGTTGGACTCAAGTTCAAACCTGGGCACTTCCTGCTCTAATATCTATGTGTGGGGAACTGTGTACATGTGTGTATGTTAGTGGTGGGAGTGAATTACACGTGTATGTAATGGGCAGAAGCACACCTCAGACATCACTTCTCACACACTGGTATATCTTTTGTTTTGCTTTTTTCTTCTTAAAATAAGTATATATATATATATATATATATTGTGTGTGTGTGTGTGTGTGTGTGTGTGAACTACATACTACATGCATACTTGCTGACTATGAAGCACAGAAAAGGATATTGGATGCCTGGAACCGGAGTTACAGATGGTTGTGAGATGTCATGTGGGTGCTGGGAATCCGACCCAGGTTCTCTGGAAGAGCAGTCAGTGTGCATAACCATCTCTCCAGCCACATTTGCCTTGGGTTTTTGTTTTTGTTTTGTTTTCTTGAGACAGGATCTCTAAATGGCTTGGGACTCGATAACTAGGCTTAGGCTGAGTAACTGTGGAGAAACAGGAGCTGTCATCTCTGGCTCCCCGGGGCCGGGATTACAGGTGTGCACCAGTATACCCAGCTTTACCTTCGTTTACTGACCAAGCTATCTCCCTGGCCCTTTTTGGCTCTTTTGGCTCCTCCCCTCCCACTACATCCTCCTTGAATGGATTCAGGTTGTCCTAAATGCTAGTCAAACATTCTACCACTTAGCCGTATCTCTAGTTCTCTCTTTCGTCTTTTATTTTGAGAGAGGGTCTCACTGAATTGCCTAGACTGGCCTTGAACTGGTTCTGTGGCTGAGGCCAGCCTTGAACCTTCAGTCCTGCTTCAGGCTGAGTGGATGGGGACGATAGACCTGCACTGTCATGCCCAGCTCCCATGCTTCTTCCTCTAATTACCCCCCTTTTTTTTTTTTTTTTTTTTTTTTTTTTTTTGGTTTTTCGAGACAGGGTTTCTCTGTGGCTTTGGAGGCTGTCCTGGAACTCACTTGGTAGACCAGGCTGGCCTCGAACTCACAGAGATCCGCCTGCCTCAGCCTCCCGAGTGCTGGGATTAAAGGCGTGCGCCACCAACGCCCGGCTCTAATTACCTCTTCTTAATTGGTTTTATTTATTTATTTGACTTTGGGGAGAAAGTCTCACAGCTGAGAGCTAGTCTTGAACTCCTGATCCTCCTGCCTTTGCCTTGCCAGTGCTGGGATTACAGTCTGTGCACCAGGCTTTAAAATCTGAGAGCAGCCACCCCGAAAACAGGCTCAACTTCCCTGATTCTGGGCTGCTTTTTGCTACATGCAACCTGTCAGCACAAGGAATGCAAGCAGAATCCTGGTGGGTGGTGGCACAGGCCTTTAATCCCAGCACTCAGGAGAGAGAGGAAGGCAGATCTCTATGTGTTTTAGGCCAGCCTGGGCTACAGAGTGAGTGCCAGGACAGGCTCCGAGGTTACATAGAGAAACCTTGTCTCAAAAAACAAAAAAGAAACAAACAAAAAAAGAGAGTGTAAGGAGAGCAGGATTCTGACCCCGCACGGTAACGTATTCGCTCCGGGTGAATTCTGAGGTCTGCAGGTGGCTGCTGGACAGGATCCCAGCTTGGCAGCGGAATACCAGCACGTGGTCCTGCTCCTCCACGGGGAAATCCATTACCACAGAATTAGAGACTGTAGCTAACTGTTTGGTTTGCTTTACAAGTTTCGTATCCAGTTCTACTTTTTCAATCTTAAAATATATTGGTGGCTGTTCTTCTTTCACAGAGCATCTGACTGTCACAACTCCACCTTCTGTCACCTCCTTTTTGTCCAGTGTCACAATGGGGTTGGGCACACCTTTGGAGAATGAGAAAGTACAGTTAGGATCAGTTCCTCACAATGGCCCAGTCTCCCTTATCTGTCACTGTGGCTCATCAGTCACCGTCCTTTTACTCCTGAACACTCAGTCCAATGCCCTAGGTAATCACTGGGCATGTGTGTGCCTGGCACTGTACTGGGCATATTAAAAATATAATAGATTGGTGTTCCCGATGGTTTACAATCCTGTTCCGAAGGTGGTGCAATTAGATTCCAACTGGTACAGTTCAAAAAGAAGAAAGCCAGATGTGATGACACACACCTTTCATCCCAGCTCTTGGGAAGCAGAGACAGGCAGATCTCTTTGTGTTTGAGGACATTCTGGTCTATGTAGTGAGTTCCAGGACAGCCAGGCCTACATAGTGAAACCCTGTCTTGAATTTGTTTCAGTCAGTATACAATAATATTGCTACATCTGATGTGTTAATTGTCTGAGTGCGTACGTGTGTGTGCATGTATGCATGATGTGTGTGCATGTATACATGGTGTGTGTGTGTGTGTGTTTAGATGTATGTGGAGGCCACAAGCCAATGTGAACATCTTTCTCAGTTGCTCTCTACCTTACTTTTTGAGATGGATTTCTCACTGAACTTAGATATCAATGATTCAACTAGGCTATCTGCCCTCCCCACCCCACCCCCACCCCCAGGGATCTTGTCTGCGCCGTCCTCTCCACCCCCAGCTCTAGGCTTGCAGGCACATGGCATGCCTGGCTTTTCACATGGGTCCTCAGGATTGCACTTAGGTCTTCTGCTGGAGTGGAAAGCATCTTCCCAGCTACTGTTGTAATGTATTAATTAAATGCCTATTACAAGCCCAGGTCTTCACCCAGGATATGGAAACTAGGCCAAATATAATCTCTCTTGAAATTTCATAGCTCCAAAGCAGATAGAGGTTTGAGAAACAGTCATGTGTTTCATAACAACTAAGATACAGCCTGATAAATGCTGTTCTGTGATGTCATCCCAGGGATAGAGTAAATCTACCCAGACTAAGGTGGCATAATGTCACTAGGTGAGCCATCTCATGAGCCTACTACTGTCTGTGTTGTTCATCATTGACTGAAACACTGTACATCATCCAATGTATACATGGTCCACCAGTGGGCTGGAAGCTGTGCACCCTACCTACAGGGTGCCTTTAACTAACCCCTCTCCATATCCCTAACTGACTACCTTGTTACTGTCCCTTCACTAATGAGGACTCCAGAGTTTAATGTCTTTACTACACTTTATTGACTATTTGTTTAATGTTGTGTATGGTCCCAAGGGTGCTATGGTGTATATGTGGAGGTCAGAGGATCCTATGGGACTTTTGGTAATCAGTTCTCTTCTTCCACCATGTGGATTCAGGGGACTGAACTCAGGTCATCAGGCTTGGCGGCAGACCCCCTCCCCCCCAAACACTTCCAAGGCTCCTGATTCTGAGGTTTAGAATGACTAATGGACATGTGCAGATGGTAACCCAGGCAGAGAAACTACAGTCTAGTGTCTTGTTTGTTTCTTGAGACAGGGTTTCTCTGTGTAGCACTGTCTTTCTTGGAACTTGCTTTGTAGATCAGGCTGGCCTTGAACTCAGAGATCCACCTGCCTCTGCTTCCTGAGCACTGGGACTAAAGGAGTGCACCACTACTCCAGGCTCGAAGGGGCACAGCCCAGTGGCTTTCCTGCAAATTGACATCAATGAGGACAGAGAGGCACAAACACTGTAAGCACTGGCGCCTGGGAGAAATCAACTCAACTAAGTAAACGCTAGAGAGGAATCTCAGTATCTGGGTGTGGAGGCGCATGTCTGTTACCCCAGTGTGCAGGAGACTAAGGCAGGAGGATTGTTCCTAGGTCTTAGTAAGACCAGTCAGGAGATTGTGTTTCAGAGAGGGGGTGGGGAGAAGAAAGCCAGCCATTGAGTGGAGGCCTGGAAAAGAAGGGGACAGTGTAGTCTGTGAGATAAGGAGAATGGGAAAGGGGGTTCCCACAAGGGGGAAGAGAATCCAAAAGGAAGAAATTAGAAGCATCCTCTTACGAGGGGAGTGTCTCTAAAGCCTACATTTTCAGGAATGCCAGGAAGTGAGTGGGAAGGATGATGAGTGATAAACCAGTGTGACTGCTCCCTCTCGGATACAGATCATGTTTGGTCATGCGCACACCCCAGGACTCACCTTTCACCGACACCTGGTGCTCTTCAGAGGTTTTCTCCTTGTTGTTCAGGATCACAGTGCATTTGTACCTCCCTGTGTGGAAGACCCGAGCCTGGGGAATGAAGAAGCTCTCTGTGTGTTCCCTGGAGGAGACGTTGTACACCAGCGCGTCATCCTTATAGAACAGCACCTGGTGCTGGGACCTGACTTGTGAGGTGGTGCTGATATCCACAAGACACCGCAGGGTCAGGTTGTGCCCATTTGGAACCTCCCAGGACGGCAGGCTTTCCATGCGGACAGAGTTAATGGTGAATGCTAAAGGCAAAGCAAACATTGTTACCATAGAAACAGCATCATCCAGACACTCGGAGGGACACATATCACATATGCATCACACGTACACACACACACTATACACACCACTCAAATACCACACAACACACAAACACAATATAAGTCTTCAAAAAAAATTCATAGCCAGGTGGTAGTGGAGCACGCCTTTAATCCCGGCACTTAGGAGGTAGAGACAGGGGGATCTCCATGAGTTTGAGGCCAGTCTGGTCTACAGAGTGAGTTCCAGGACAGCCAGGGCTACACAAAGAAACCCTGTCTCAAAATAACAAACAAGCAAACAAAAAGAATTCATAAGTTGTTTTGACACATATATAGGAGAGTGGCCAGAAGGTGGTATACAGTAGTTGCTTAATAAACAGTGACTCTCCATCTTAAGGTCGGACATGCCCAGGAATGCTCCACCCCTTCCAGACCTCATGGGACTAGCATGGTTCTAGTAGCTCTCTCTCTCTCTCTCTCTCTCTCTCTCTCTCTCTCTCTCCCTCTCTCTCTCTCTCTCTCTCTCTCTCTCTCTCTCTCTCTCTCTCTCTCTCTCTCTCTCTCTCTCTCTCTCTCTCTCTCTCTCTCTCTCTCTCTCTCTCTCTCTCTCTCTCTCTCTCTCTCTCTCTCTCTCTCTCTCTCTCTCTCTCTCTCTCTCTCTCTCTCTCGCCATGTTCCCTTTATTCTACTTTACCTCTCTTCTTCATTCCCTTCCCCCTCCCCTCTCTCTTCCTTCTTTTGGCTCTCTATCTCTTTTTTTTACATTTAAAATGTTTTCTCTAGCCAGGCAGTGGTGGCGCACACCTTTAATCCCAGCACTTAGAAGGCAGAGGCAAGAGGATCTCTGTGAGTTCAAGACCAGCCTGGTCTACAGAGTGAGTTCCAGGAGAGGCTCCAAAGCTACACAGAGAAACCCTGTCTCGAAAAAAAAAATGTTTTCTCTAGTAACTATTTTCAAGACACTGGAAAAATACAGACCATGTTACACAGAATTAAGGCACAGTACTAGTGAAATATGGGGCCTAGCATCTGTAAATCCCAGCATTTGGAAGGCTGGGGCAGAGGGCTGCTGTGAGCTCAAGGTCAGCCCAGTCCGGGAGTGAGGGAGACTGCGTCTCAAGTGAGAATGCATCTCAAGTAAAATAAATAAATAAACAAAGGAGCAAATAAATGAGAGCCGTCAGACTATAGCAAGTTCAACGTCAGTCTAGGTTTCATAGCGAGTTTCAGGCAAGTCAAGGAAATTTTTTAAAAAATTCTAAAATGTAGATAGATAGATAGATTGACAGACAGACAGACAAACAAATGTATTAAGAGAGGGCTGGGGATGCACCTCAGGGGAGGGGTGCCTGCCTAGCATGTGCAATGGCCTGGGTTCGATCCCTACTATCACAACAGAAATGCGTATTGAGGCTGGAGTTAATAGCTCAGAGACAGTGTCGGTAGGCATGAGTTCAGAAAACACACTAGGGGAAGAAACAACAAGCTTTAAAAAAACTAGTCAGTACCCAAAAAGATGTCTTTAAGTAAAACCAATAAAACTGCCTATGCTGTGGCCAGCTGGTGTTTGCCCTTTAGAAGGTTCAGAGGATTGCCAGATCAGGAAGACTTGAAACCACTTCCTTTTTATTTTTTTTTAAGTTGGAGTTTTTTGTTTGTTTATTTTTTGGTTTTCAAGACAGGGTTTTTCTGTGTAGCAGCTCTGGCTGTCCTAGACTCACTTTGTAGACCAGGCTGGCTTCAGACTCACTGAGATCCACCTGCTCCTGCCTCACGAGCTACACATGGTGGCACACCCCCATAAACGAAGCACTTAGGAGACTGAAGAGAGATTATTGCTGTGAGTTCAAGACCCACTTGTGCCTTGATGGGAGCAAAACATAGTTGATAGGACATTTGCCTGGCATGCATGATGAAGCCCTGGGCACAATCTCCACCACTATATTTTTAAAAATAGAAGGGCTGGCAAGATGGCTTATCAGGTAAAAGTACCTGCCACCAAGCCCGGTGACCCAAGTTCAATCCCTGGAACCCGCATGGTGGAGATAGAGAGACTCTACTCCATCAAGTTATCTGGTCTTTACATGTGTGTACAGTGGTTGTACTCCTCCCAATTAATTTTTTTTAATTTAAAGAAGAAACTAAAACTTGTCTCAACACACACACACACACACACACACACACACACACGGTTGGCATGGTGGCACATGCCCTAAATGCCTGCACTCAGGAGGCAGAGGCAGGTGAGTTGGCCAGCCCAATCTACATAACAAGTTCCATACCAGCCAGTGCTACATAGGAAGACCCAGTCTAAAACAAACAAACACCCTCCCCCAAGCCCAACACTCACAAAACTGTCTTATAGAAAGGCAGAGAGTGCGGCTCTACTTGCTTGGCATGTGTGGGCTCTGGGTTCTGCCTCCAGCACCAGGAAAGAGAGCAACAGCCAAACCAAGTCTGGGATCCGGAGTCCCAGGGCTAGGCAGAGCTCCGCCGGGAAAGCTCTGCGACTCATTTCTAGCCTCATAATCCACCAGTGGATAGTGCTTGTTTCCCTTTGGGAGTCTCCAAAATCCTCTAAGTTCCTGATGAACTGAGCAGAGTGGTACCAGGCTCTTGGGAGGTAGAGGAAGGAAAATCAAGAGTTCAAGGTCAGCATGGGCTACTTAGCAAGTCTGAGGCTAACCTGGCCTATATATTGAGACCCTGTCTCAAAACAACACATAAAGCAAGGTCTGGGATTCAGTCACTAAAGTTCCAGGACAGCTAGGGCTACATAGTGAGACCCTGTTTTAAAAAAAAAAGCTGTGGAGATAACTAACAGGAAGTTTCCACGTGTTCCTACGACTCCAAGAAGAACCTGCTGTCCATGCCCTGCTTGCTTCTTCATGAAGGCTTTTGGGTGTGTGTCCCCTAAAGCGTACTGTAAATATAAATAGGGAAAAGATGGAATTAAAGTAACTCTTCACAGTAAATTTTCATACACACATAAAAAATTGGGAAATTGGGAGCTGAAGAAATGGCTCAGTGGTTGAGAGCACTGGCTGCTCTTGCAGAGGTGCTGAGTTCAATTCCCAGCACCCACATGGTGGCCCACAACCGTCTATAATGAGGTCTGGTGCCCTCTTCTGGCCTGCAGGGATACAGGAAGAGAGAACACTGTATACATAATACATAAATCTTAAAAAAACAAAACAAAACAAAACCTCGGGAAATCAGAAACACTCCAGTAAAATGCAAAATTCTCAGGACTTGACCTCTTCTGAATCCCTGTCTTGGAAAACCTGAAGGGGGAGAGAGAGAGAGAGAGAGGGAGGGAGGGAGGGAGAGAGGGAGGGAGGGAGGGAGGGAGGGAAAGAGGGGGGAGAAAGACAGAGAGACAGAGAGACAGAGAGAGAGGCAGGCAGACTTGACCTCCTATCAGGAACTGAAGGCCACCTCCGCCTTGGGCAGGGCAGTCAGCTACTACATTCTGTTGTCGGCACCGGGTCCCACTCAGCCAGGCCTGCCTCCCCCCTTTGTGGTGGACGGTGACCTTAAAGTTTTGGTCCTCCTGCGTCCACCTTCCAAGTGCTAGCTTACAGGCAGGGGTCACCACTCTTATTTTATGAGGTGCTGAGGAGTGAACCATGAGTTTGAACACCAGGCAAGAGCTCTAACATTAGAAATACAGCGTCAGTCTCAGTGCCAGGCAAACTCTCGGGAAGCGGTAGCCGGATTCTATCTGCCACAGAATAAAGGAGAGTTTTAAAGTTTCATCTCTTCTCTATTTCTACAGGTTAATTTCACAAGGAACCGTTTGTCACATCTTAATGTCTAAATTGGGGATGTAGCTGAGCAGCAGACCACATACCTAGCATGTATAAGGTCCTAGATTCAATCCCCAGGACTGACAGAAGTAAATCGGTTCCCAGATTTGTTCACACTGATGTGTGGTCCCCACCCCAATTATGGGCTACTGTATGGATAGCATCCTAAACAGCTGCCCACTGGGGCCACCTAGGCCTCAGGCTGGGCTAAATTACCAAGTGTGAAAAGATAGGCATGTGCCCACACCCTTAGTTGGGTGGATTTGAGAGGTTTTATTACTTTTTTTTTCAAGGCAGGGTTCCTCTATGTAACAGTACTGGCTGTCCTGGAACTTGCTCTGTAGACCAGGCTGGCCTCGAACTCACAGAACTCCGCCTGCCTCTGCCTCCTAGGACTAAAGGTGTGCACCACCACACTGCCTGGCTAAATTTTTTTTAAAGTTGAATTCAAACAAAATAGTACATACTATTTATTGTCTCTTTGTTAAAATTTTTTTATCATGTGTATGAATGTATGCTTGTGTATGGGTTTATGTACATTAATGCAATGTCCACAGAAGCTAAAGGGGGTATCAGGTCCCCTGGAGCTGGAGTTAAAGACAGTTGCAGACTGCCCAACACAGGTGCTAGGACCCAAACTCCGGTCTTCTGCAAAAGCAGTAAACATGAGTTATCTCTCTTTCTAGCCTTTTAATCAGGCCGGTTAATCAGCAGAATCTCCAGGAATTGCTGAAATTGCCACGAGGGCCTCCCCTCCAGGAAACCTGCTCCACCTAAAGCCCAGCTATGGCGGAGGGGGGGGCGGAGGGGGGCGGAGGGGGGCTGAGTATCCCTTTAATGAGATAAGCAATGTTTCCTTCTTAGAAGTCTCTGCCTCGGGGCAACTGCCTGCAGCCACTAGCAGAACCCACCACTTGGCCCTGGTAAACGTCCTTTCTCTTCTGTTTCCCTTCCCCCCCAGATACTGATCAAAGTCTGGGCTTTCCGGTGCCCCAAGCTTCCTAGCTCAGTCTAGGAAGCTCATCCTCAGCTGCTCTGTCACGCTACTGCCTGCTAACCCCCACCCCCACCTCCCACCCCCATTGCAAAAGACATGGCTTTCTTTCTTCTCCATTTCCCGGAAGTTTCATAGCTAGGCTGCTCCGTTGTTTGTCTTCCAAACACTAATAAGAT